GTATTCTGAATCTGAGCTGTGAGTGGGCAAGATAAATCTGATGATAATGTGCAGGCCAGCAGGAGGGGGATGCCAAGAAGTGGAATGGAGCATTGCAGAAGGAAGTCGAGGGGAGCTGGAAGAGATCATGATGTTGACAGCTGCTCTTGCATAAGTCTCAAAAGACTCCTGTGGCAAAGCCCTGGCTAGACTCTGGGTTGGCTCCTGATTCAAGATGAAATAGAGAAGGAACTGAGAGGAAGAAAAGAGATCGGATGAATTTGGCAAAGACTTTTAGATCTCAAATTTAGTTGAAGACCTGTGATTTTCCTCTTAAATATTTTTGAAAATTGACACAATTTCTAAAGATTGTAATGCCAAACAATGTGTTGTCCTCCCCCTATTTGCTCCTCTTTGTCTTTTATTTTTAGTTGGAAAGGAAGTTCTTTTGTTTTGTTTCCTACTTTAGATCAGGAGATTACCTGAATCAGCTCTCGAGGCATCATTTTTCATCTGTGCTTGGCAGAAGATGCTGTTTCTGGCAGGATGTGTTTTTTCCATTTCTTTCTTCTTCTGTTTTCACTTCTTCTCTTCCAGTTTTTCTTTCCTGTCTCATGTGTCTTTCCCCATTCTGTCTGTCCTCCGAGCTCTCTTATTTTCTTATTGCCACACTGTGAGCTTTCACTGCCATGTAAGAGAAACTCCTGTCTGGCCTGACCAACTCCCTACACTTAACACATTGCTTTTGTAGTATTTATCTACAAAGAATATCATGTGAGATATCCAACAAGAACTTATTTCATGCTGGCCATCATGATCATTGTAGGATGTGTGCACGGATAACAGTTAAGAAGTTGTATGTTTATACTAAAAAGATGTTTAAACCAAGCAAACCAGGCAGGGTGAATAAAGGTTCCCTAGACAAAGGAATGTTGACTTTCCTATCTGCCCTGATGTTGAATGTAAATGGAGCAGGGGTAGCCAGACACAATGGAAATTATAGTTACATATTAAGTTAACAGGAAAAGTAAATTATCAGAAGGATTAGAAGAACAGCATAGAGTCTGCACCCTGAAGAACAGCATGGGAGAGGAATTTTGTCTGGGGGTGTACTTCAAAGGATACATTTCAGAGTTGCTTGACTATCTGAGGGGGAAAGGACATTCTGGCTATCCATCACTGAGGGAGCAAGAAGCACAATGCTTTTTGTATTCATGAACGCAGGATCCTGGCCAGGGGGAAGCTTATGACACTGAGAGGAGGCTTTGGGCGAGAGACTGCCTGAGTCAAGAATTGTAGCCTGTTAAGCCTTAGTCACTTGTATTTTTTTTATTTGTAACCATTTTCTGTTTCTACTACTCTTGCTTAGCATCACTTGAATCTCTGTTCTTTATTAATAAACTTATTCTTGGTTTTACTATAAGTTCATCTCAGTGCAATATATTAAAGTAAAGTGTGCATCATCCACTAAGCCAACAGGCTGGTGAGTGTCCTGTCTCTTTGGAGACAGCAGAGTTGGTAATTTCTGTGAGTGTCCAGTGACAGGGGCTGGATACTGCAGGGCAATGTTCTACAAGGGGAGTCAGGAACTGAAGTGTTCCAAGTGTTACCTGCAAGGTGAAATAGGGTCTGGCAGTGTCCTGAAGAGTTTGTTGGACTGGCTAACGCACTGGAGTATCAGGGAGCTGTCACAGTTTAGTATCTGCAAATCTCTCTCTCACTGAGGCAGAGGAGTAACAAGGTAACTAACAGTTCTGAGAAAGTATGCCACTCACCTTCTGCCCTCTTTTGTTTACTCTCCTTCTCTCTTCCTTTCATCCCTGTCTGTTCTTTCCTGTCTTCCCTCTTCTGTCCCTCTTTTCCCTTTAATATCTCCCATGTTGTGTCTCTCCTCTGCAGTCACTTTGCCTCTTCTCCCTGAACATAAACTCCATTCATTCCTTGGGAAGGCCTTCAGTCTCTCTGTTCCCTTTGGAGAACTCTTTGCACCTGGAAAACTCCTTCCTTTCCCCTCTTTCTGCTAATGCTGGGGACCCATTTTCTGTCAAACACTCTTCTCTCTCCCACCAGTGGCTAGAAGTCTTCACTCACCTGTTCCCTTCCTCTCTTGATAGTATTTCCTCCCTGGTGACTCCCTGCTTTCCTCCTCTGCCCTCTGGTGATAACAAAACCCTCCTTTTCCCATGTCTCCAATGGCTAAGAGTCCCCTCTTATTCTCTACCTTCAGCTCTTATTATTCAAAAGTCCCCACTACCCAATTGTTCCAGGGGATTTGTGGGTGCTGGTGCCATTGCTGGTGGGGAGGCAGGAGAGAGGCAATTCTTGTAGAGTAGTCTCCATCAGCACCCTGGACTTGACTAGCCAGGAAAGGGCATCCTCTCAGTGGAAGAGAGATTAAGAGCTGGCTGGAGAGCAGATGCTGCCTAGAAGTGTAAAGAATTGAGTGCTTCAGTCACACAGTCTTTTTACATGGTGTTGATATGGTAATTTGCCTACTAAATCCTCCCTGAAGCATGCCCATTGGTCCTTAAACAAAGCATAATTTTACTCCATTATAGAATTTGTTGGAATTAAATAAAATATATAGTAAAGAATTTGAGGCACTAGATAGAATTATGGCTTTATTGCATTGTGATTTAAGACATTTTGTGTTGAATGATGCAAGCATATGAACATTTTTACTACATGTTATATCATTACAGGTTATTGTGGTACAGATTCATTTGCCATTTTGGGGGATCATTATACTTTTTAAATACAAGTGAAAGTAATTAAAATGTGTGACTTGCATAGAATGTTTTTGTCTGATATACCATCTAAGTGTAAAATTGCAAAGTGCTTCTTGTTTTGTTTTTTTTAGCTACATACATACAATGTACTACACATATTATCCCAGTAGAAGAATTCTTTATTGTCCTGTTTTATATCAACAAACAGGGGAAACAAAGCTAAATATGTGGTAATCTGGTAGACCATTTAGGAAAATATGTTCCCAGAAGTTTCCTTTTCTTATCCCAGTAACCACTCTACACACAAACCCTAACCCTTTTACTGGTATTTTGTGGCACTCACATCTGAAAGTGCCTGAATCTGTAACTGAGACAGATGGTGAGAAATTGAATCCCCTTGAGTTACAATCAGGCAAAGTTAAAATATTTTGGAGGCTTATGGTAGAGCAGGGGTCAGCAACCTTTCAGAAGTGGTGTGCTGAGTCTTCATTTATTCACTCTAATTTAAGGTTTCGCGTGCCAGTAATACCTTTTAATGTATTTAGAAGGTCTCTGTCTATAAGTCTATAATATATAACTAAACTATTGTTGTATATAAAGTAAATAAGGTTTTTAAAATGTTTTAGAAGCTTCATTTAAAATTAAATTAAAATGCTGAGCCCCCCGGACCGGTGGCCAGGACCCGGGCAGCGTGAGTGCCACTGAAAATCAGCACGCGTGCCGCAGGTTGCCTACCCCTGGGCTAGAGTCTCAATAAACGAGCTAGATGAACCAGTCTAGATTGATTGAAGTTATCTGCTGAAAAAAGTGAATAATATATGTAAAATGAGATGAAGTTGTTTCTTCCAGTTTTAAATTGGAGAGAGAAATTTAACAGCCAGGCCAAGCCCCTTCTGCTCTGGTGGGACTCAAATGTCCCTTAAGTTCCACTGTTCCCCTCTGGCATTTTAGCTCCATAGGTCAAACTGCAAACAAAGTAAGTGTATCTCAAGTGCTACTCAACTGTAGTGTCAAAATGAATTTTTTGCACATTTCATCATAAGAAGAAAGTCCCTCTCCTTTCTTATGTGCTTTGATGAGCAGTGAAATAGATAAGTGTTGACATTTCAATTATCATTAGGCACCTGAGTTAGCATCCTATAGAGATGAATGAGACAGTCCACACCTCTTACAGTTAGTATTTCAGGCTCTCTACAAATTCAGGCTGCCATCACTGTGTCCGTGTACCTCGAAAATACTGTTTGCTTCCTCAGAACCATAATGGCTACAGATATTTAATTTAATGAAAGATGAAATTTTGGAGAACAAGATAGAAGCCTTAAAAAAAAAAAAAAGAGGAGGGAGTGCCAAATTGTTGACCTAACATGACCCAATGCCATTCAAGCCTCTCTTTTATCTTAAAAGGAAATAACAGAAATAGAATGGGGTTCAGAGAGGAAGAATGAAAATTATTAGAGATCTGGAAAGACTTCTATATGAAAAGATATTGAAAAGCTTAGGATTGTTTAGAGTAATAAAAGGAGACAATATAGGTGCAGACAAAATAATGAATAGTATAGAGAAGGTAAGTCCTCACTAATAATATAAAAATAAGGAGACATTCAAAGAAACTAAAAGACAATAAATGTAAAACTGTGACCAGCCTGCTCTGCCAATGGTACGAGAATTATCTCACTTACAATACATAAGTGATTCATTTTCCAACTGCATCTCATCATTTGATTAATTTGTTGGTTTTTCAACTGTATGTAAAGTTATTTTCATTAAAAAGTCTACATTTGCCAAGTTATTACATGTGGTACCTAAGATACTACCATAACTTTTCCACATATGCATTTTAGGGGATATTCCATATGCATTCAGGACATCTCTAGTCCAGTTTGTTAGACTGTTAACATACATATAACCACAGCAGACTTGTTTGATACAACTATGTAACTCATCTGAGTGGCAGGATTTTTTAACACATCTATCATTTCTGCAGCCTGAGAATAATGCAGCAAGTGTCAATTACACTCTAGCAGCTGTTAAAAAGTCAGATTGTGGAAATCTGGTGAGAACAAATTCTAATCGGATAATATTGAGGATGCTCAGCTGTTATTTTAACACAATCAATAGGGGCGTGTCAATTTCCTGCAGAATTTAATTTAGCCCATATGATAAAGAAATCTCTGCATTCACCCACTTCTATCAAGTCAAACTTTGGATACTTTAAACAAACGAGACTGAGGCTTCAGAGAGAAGTGGCAGAGCAACATGCTGAAGAGATTTTGCTTTTATTTCCATTCTCAGGTTACATCGAGGAAGCCTGCATTATTCCATGCCCCTCAGACTGCAAGCTCAGTGAATGGTCCAACTGGTCTCGCTGTAGTAAATCCTGTGGGAGTGGGGTAAAGGTTAGGTCTAAATGGCTCCGTGAAAAACCCTACAATGGTGGAAGACCCTGCCCCAAGCTGGATCATGTCAATCAGGTAAATCCAGTTACTTTTCTTTGCTGATATATTCGTTTATTTCTGTGTGGACAAATTATTACATATATAAAGTCAGTGAAGAATCGTTCCCTTCTAAGTACTTCACATGCTTTTTGAATTGAGTAATATGTACTGGCACTGGTGGAAGACCAAAATTATATGCAAAATTAAGGTTAGGGCTTTTCTCTCTGTGGATTTTTAAAAAAAAAATCTGGGCAATATGCTGTACTACAAAGGCAAAACTTACAAGGCCAATTCTTCCAGACCTTGCATGCCATCAACTGCAGACACTCATCACCTTGCAAGATCAGCTCTTCAGCAGTATGTTTAAGAGAAAGAGATAAAGCTCTCAGTATACAGAGAGAGAGGTTGAACTACACAGTAACAGGAAATTCCCCTCCTTAATTCAAACACTGCCATACATTACAGATAAAGTGCATGCAAAGCAAGCAGCCCATGAAGAACACCAATTCATTCTGCTCAGTCTCCTCCTCCTCCATTTGAATACATCATCATCACGAGAACTGTGCACTGAAGCAGATATTTTGGTATAGTATTAATATCTGGAGCTAAATATTAAAAAATATTGCTGGTTCTTCACGAAAGAGGAAATTGCTCTCCACTGTAAAAATATCTTGGGACCCAGACTCCTGGTCAGACTGATATGTGCTGTAATTCTGGGCCTGAAAAAGAAAATAATCAAACACACCCCCCCCCAAAAAAAAACCCCTTTAGAGGTTCTGGTGTCAATCCTCTGGCCCTGCCTTTCTTTCTTGTAGGTACTCCATGCAATCGGTGAAATCACTGTGTAGGCCCATCCTCCTTTCCACTGCCTCCCCCCATCGCCACCACAAAAAACAAATGAAACAAAATCAAAACAAAACACCAGAAACATTCAAAGTATCCTCAGTGTGATCCTTGTGTCCTCCTTAGCATCCTATCGCCAAAATTGGCATCCAAGTGGTTTTTGGCCTTCCAGGTGCAGTTGTTTTAAGAAAGATTGAGACTGAAACTTGAACATCTAACTGCCTGGGTGTTAGAATCCTTCCCAGGGCAGCAGTCAGCCAAATTGATCCTGGGGATGCCTCACTAGGGTCTCACGGAACTGTATGTGTCTGGATACAAAACACTGACACAAAGCAGGAAGCTCTCAACAGAAGTTTTTTTTAAAAAAAAGTTCTGGCCTTGCCAGGCATGTAAGACCTGCTGCATGTAAAGTTGTTTGGTTGGGCAGTTTTTAGTAGTAAAAACTGCCTTTTCAGGTTCCTTGTCTCTCTTCAGGTTTGATTTATATTCATCTCACATTTGGATTTAATTTGCATTTGTGGATAGCATGTTAAATGGCCCCATATTCATCTCCATAAATATTCAGAGGGGAAAAAAAATCTGGCCATTCATATTCGAATAAGGTACATGTTATTAGTTCCATCTTATTGACATTTTGTCAGCACAGAATGAAATGGTGTGTTGATTTAATGTTTCTACTTAAGGGGATATAATTAGTTCTAGAAAGAAAGTGTTTAAACTATAGCTAATAAACTATGTTTAGAATCCACTTGAACACAAAATACAAGTTTCAATGAAGGCTTTGTTGGTTTTGAGGAGTATATTAAAACTGTTTGAAATTACAGAAAATACATTATAATAGGAACAAATTATAGTTTATGAAAAAAATCTCTTCCTGCTTGTAATATTCATGTGGCACAATATTTCATAATAAGTTCTTCAGGATGTCAGAGGTGAAGTTACTATATTTGTATTAGAAAACTCAGTTTGTTTTTTTATATAGCACTGCTGCCCTCTACTGGTATATAACCTAGTATCTTATTTGCTGCAGCTTTATAGCTGCCAAAAATTCAAATACTAAATGACGATAATAAAGATAAAATTGAAGTCTGATATTGCATGGGGAAGAGGCTGTGCCATCCATAAAGCTGAGAGTTTGTATCCCTTAATATTAAATACACTTCACTTAAATCCTTAAGTGTGGAAATCCCATAAACTCAACCTGTGCCAATGACCAAACAGCTGCCCAAGGATGTTTAATTAATCCACACCTGATCCACAGCTCAAAGAAAATCAACAGACCAAATTAGTACATTGCCATATCAATACTTCAGAATGAAAGGCATAGCCACTTGTAAATAATATTTTGTAATATAAAATATACGGGTCAGATTTTGCCATTGTTACCCACCGGTGTTCTGGGGAGAGGGCACAGAGGACCATGATACAGTTGAAGATGATTCAGGAAGAATTTGCACTGTGATCTCCCAGAAAACATACCCATAGCTACACCACCCTTGAGGAGAATGTAGCACGCTCAGTTCTTCATGCCAGATTCCAACCCTCAACACCCATTCTTTCAAGTAGCTGGCACACACAGGGTTGTGACTGGAGAGACAGGGCCTGGACTCCACACCCATGTTGCAAGGTGGGGGAAGGACACCTTGCTCTCTTCCATCAGGCACGTCCAAGCAGGAACTGATCACAATCTGGCCTTTAATCTAAACCTATTTTCATTAATAAATAATGTTATTTTCTAATTTAAATTATTTGCAAATATATCCATACATGCCAACTGTCCCATTTAAGGGCAAATGTAATAAAACCATTAATTGTTTTTCTGCTCTCTCCATCCTAAAGTATCTCATTTGGGGCTAAAAGGTGTGTCCCTATTTCTTTTTCCTTTAATATCCTTATTTATGACTTTTCACATATTGGCAGAGGTGTATGCACAGCAAAGTCTTTCCTGGAGAAAAGTTTCAGAGTAGCAGCCGTGTTAGTCTGTATTCGCAAAAAGAAAAGGAGTACTTGTGGCACCTTAGAAACTAACAAATTTATTTGAGCATAAGCTTTTGTGAGCTACAGCTCACTTCATTGGATGCATTCAGTGGAAAATACAGTGGGGAGATTTACATACATAGAGAACATGAAACAATGGGTGTTACCATACACACTGTAACCAGAGTGATCACTTAAGGTGAGCTAATACCAGCAGGAGAGCGGGGGGGGGGGGGGTGGAATAAAGCCTTTTGTAGTGATAATCAATGTGGGCCATTTCCAGCAGTCGACAAGAACGTCTGAGGAATGGGGAGGGGGAGAGAGGAATAAACATGGGGAAATAGTTTTACTTTGTGTAATGACCCATCCACCCCCAGTCTTTATTCATGCCTAACTTAATTGTATCCAGTTTGCAAATTAATTCCAATTCAGCAGTCTCTCATTGGAGTCTGTTTTTGAAGGTTTTTTTTTCAAGAATTGCAACTTTTAGGGCTGTAATCGAGTGACCAAAGAGATTGAAGTGTTCTCCAACTGGTTTTTGAATGTTATAATTCTTGACGTCTGATTTGTGTCCATTTATTCTTTTATATAGAGACTGTTCAGTTTGACCAATGTACATGGCAGAGGGGCATTGCTGGTACATGATGGCATATATCACATTGGTAGATGTGCAGGTGAACGAGCCTCTGATAGTGTGGCTGATGTGATTAGACCCTATGATGGTGTCCCCTGAATAGATATGTGGACGCAGTTGGCAATGGGCTTTGTTGCAAGGATAGGTTCCTGGGTTAGTGGTTCTGTTGTGTGGTGTGTGGTTGCTGGTGAGTATTTGCTTCAGGTTGGGGGGCTGTCTGTAAGCAAAGACTGGCCTGTCTCCCAAGATCTGTGAGAGTGATGGGTCGTCCTTCAGGATAGGTTGTAGATCCTTGATGATGTGTTGGAGAGTGGCTAGTGGTGTTCTGTTATTTTCTTTGTTGGGCCTGTCCTGTAGTAGGTGACTTCTGGGTACTCTTCTGGCTCTGTCAATCTGTTTCTTCACTTCAGCAGGTGGGTATTGTAGTTGTAAGAATGCTTGATAGAGATCTTGTAGATGTTTGTCTCTGTCTGAGGGGTTGGAGCAAATGCGGTTGTATCGTAGAGCTTGGCTGTAGAAGATGGATCGTGTGGTGTGGTCTGGATGAAAGCTGGAGGCATGTAGGTAGGAATAGCGGAAAGTAGGTTTCTGGTATAGGGTGGTGTTTATGTGACCATCGCTTATTAGCACTATAGTGTCCAGGAAGTGGATCTCTTGTGTGGACTGGACCAGGCTGAGGTTGATGGTGGGATGGAAATTGTTGAAATCATGGTGAAATTCCTCAAGGGCTTCTTTTCCATGGGTCCAGATGATGAAGATGTCATCAATGTAGCGCAAATAGAGTAGGGGCATTAGGGGACGAGAGCTGAGGAAGCATTGTTCTAAGTCAGCCATAAAAATGTTGGCATACTGTGGGGCCATGAGGGTACATAGCAGTGCCGCTGATTTGAAGATATACTTTGTCCCCAAATGTAAAATAGTTATGGGTGAGGACAAAGTCACAAAGTTCAGCCACCAGGTTTGCCGTGACATTATCGGGGATTCTGTTCCTGACGGCTTGTAGTCCATCTTTGAATGGAATGTTGGTGTAGAGGGCTTCTACATCCATAGTGGCCAGGATGGTGTTTTCAGAAAGATCACCGATGGATTGTAGAAAAGTGTGATATATGGATAAGCAAATATCTTAAATTAACTGTGAAGCAGGAAATTCTTGAAATTAACTTTTGAAGATTTATTCTCTTTTCCCTAAGCATCTATAGTTAATAAAATGATCTGCACTGCTATAATGAAGGTTTGCAAGTGATAATACTGGATCCAATTCATTGAAAAATTGTCTCTCTGGCTATGAGAGAGTTTCTGCTAAAGGGGCAGATCCCAGTTTCCTGGGGAAAATAACATCTACCTTTTCTTTGGCTTCAGGGATTCTCTGCCTCCCCACCTACCTAGGCAGGCATGGAGTCCATGACTATGTCGAGCTCTAAGTGTTTGCTATCAGTGACAGTCACATAAATGCCAATAATATTGAGAGAATTGCAATAACACCTGGGGCGCAGGCATGGGCTCTGTCTTGGCTGATAGGTGCATTGCTGCCAACAGCTAGAGAGTGCCATACTGAGATTTTCCTTTAGATTGCCTAGTAATGTTGGCTCTACCTAGCTGATAGCAGATATAGCAGACAACTAGAGAAGAGCTTTTCATGGTAACTGCTTTCAAATACTGGACACAAACTTAGGACAGGCTAAAAAGACTTTAAAAATGTGTGAAGGATGAGATCTTTGTCACGTTCTTCACCTTTATACCTGTAACCCTTCTGCCCGTCAGAGTTGGCAGCAACAAGGGCCAGGTTCAATATCTAGGGGATCCATTCCAATAACACAATGCAAACCGGCTCGAGCCCCCACCCAGTGACCTGGGACAAATATATACCACTCCCGCTGGGCGCCTCCAAGTGGCAATACTTCCCCTCTCGCAAGCACATAGTCTGAGTGTAGCAAAAAGCCTTTTAATAACAGAGAGAAACAATGTGGCATTATGTTGAGGAAACACCACCAACAGGATTCATAACATAACCCATGAGCAAAAAACCCACCCCAAGCAAATTGGGGCATGCCTCTTTCCCTTTGGTTCTTGAGTCCAGCAACCCCAAATCACCCAAAGTCCCAAAAGTCCAATGACCCAAAAGTCTCTGTCCCTGGTCAGGGCAGCCCCAGAGTTCGAAAGTTTATCTGTGGAGCTTTACCTCCCAACCTGGGTGGAGATGGGACGGGGGTACATGATCTGAAGCTGACCGCCCCACAGCTCCATAGGCCTCCGCTACGCTCCACCAGCCGCCCCACAAACTCCTTCGCTCAGCTCCGCGGCCCAAAAGCAGCTCCCGCCATCCCACAAACTGCTCCACCAGCCGGTCCACAAACTGCTCCGCGTCCCACCAGCAGCTCCCGCCGTCCTATGAATTGCTCCACCAGCCTGTCTACAAGGCACTCCAGCCGTCCCGCAAACTGCTCCACAATATATCTTCAGGCTCCCCCACTACTTAACACAACGCTCAGTGATTTCAGCTCTTAGTCAGTTCAGCTCTTTGGTGAATTCAGCTTGTAGTAGGGGAGCCTCAGTGCTGGTGCACTATTAGCCCAAAGTGAGCTCAGCAGCCTGTAACTAGACTCCTAATGGAATCAAAATTAGCTCTGATATTCCACAGTGGAGAGAGGAGGAAGTGCAATTAGCATGTAAGGCCCTCACCAAGAGGCCCATGCCATCAAGTATTAATACTTGTCCCCAGCCTCTCTCCGTTAACAGAGTTTTAAAACCCATGACCCTTGCCTAGCAAGTGCTACTTAGTTGATGGTGAGTCCCTCCATCATAACAAAAGGCTAAGTACAGTTCCAAGCACAGTTCCCATAATCAGCGTAACAACAATTTATTCTTCCTGCCCCAGTAACAGAGACACTGGGGATCCCACAGCAGCCAAAGTGACCATTTGGGCAGCTATGGCCTCATTCTAGGCGGGGTGGGTGTGCCTATGCAAATGAGACTGACCCCTGAAGTTCTTTTCCACAACTTGCCTCACCACCAGATGTCAGGGTGGAGCTCATCCTGACACTGCTTACATCCCCATCCCACACTACCTGGCAGTACAATATTGATAATATATAAAACACAGTCTTCCATCCAAACCCACTCATGAATTTCTTCAGTCTTGGAGAAATTGAACTCCCCAGCCTGTAAAGAATTGATACCCATGGAAGGCAGAGAATAAAATAGTTTAACCATGTGTTATGAACAATGTGAGGGGGAAATGAGCATATTTGCACTAGTCTCCATCAAGGTGGTGTGCAAAAGAATCATTTTTTCTTACATTATGACTTCTTGCAGAATGTGTTGTTAGAGATACAAGAGGGAAAGCTATGTCTTATCTGGCCTAAGTGATGAGGCTTTCCGCTTGGTAGAGAGCATAGAGGATTGTTTTTAACCAATGAAGCTCTAAATGTACACCATTCAAATATCTGTGTTTCGCTCACTAACTAGTGTTTCTATTTATCTTTGGCTGTTCCCTTGGGTTCATGGCAAATACCTGTTCCAGGCTCAGGTAAGAGTCTCTAAAATAGATACATAACCTTATAATGTGCTTCCTGACCAAGTTCTATAATGTATGCACTGTTTGGACTTTTCTGTAATTGTTCTTTAAAAAGATATATGTGATAGTACATAGGATGCCATTTTTAATGTACCTCAGATATTCTGTATAAAACATTCCAATCTTCGCATGATATAATAACTTTAAGGCTTCACAGTTAAAAATAGTTCAAATTAAGGGGCCAGATTATGCTCTGATTTACATTGGTGTAATTTAGGGAGTGATACCATTAGAATCAGCCCTCCCCAAACATCCACAACTAATAATATTAGGTGGGGGAGTGTAGAGTATAAAAGGAAAGACAGGAGCAGGTTGGCAAATGGACAGTACAAGCTGGCTTCCCTATTAGAGCAAAGTTAAGGCTGTTGTGTGGGTTCTCTGGTGTATATTAGTGGTAATGGTAAAGTGCATGCATACTGGTGCAAAAGAAAGTTTATACTGTTAAGGATTTAACTTTTCATTTCCTTGCTTTGGTATCAGGTGTTTTATGTCTGTTGTAACAGCAACTGCTTCACAACCTACTTGTATTGAGATTAAATATATTTGTTATCTTTACAAAATAACAATAATATTGTGTGTCGCTGCTATGTCAGAACGACAGTTCCTGCATACTTATCATGTTTGCATACTGTGTGCCACAAACTTACACTCTGTGTGGTTTCCAGGTATATGAGGTGGTCCCATGCCACAGCGACTGCAGCCAGTACATATGGGTTACAGAACCCTGGAGCGTCTGCAAAGTGACCAATGTTGACTTAAAGGAGAACTGTGGAGAAGGTGTGCAAACCAGGAAAGTGAGGTAAACAATGTAATCCTTCTCTTGAAAAAACAAAACCAGAAACCCTCACCTTTAAATTATGATGGGATTAAAGAAGCAAAATTCTACAGAAGAGTATTTTGACAAAGGCATTTTCACAAAAGTTTGTGTACGGAATGTTAGACCAAAACCTCAGCTGGTGTAAATCTGTGTAGATTGAACTCAGTGGACCTAAACCAGTTTACACCAGTTTAGGATTTAGCCCTTTGTTCTATTTTTTAAAAAAACATTTATTATACTTTATAAAAATAAAACTGTAATTTACATTTATATAGTTCCTTTCAAAGGCCAGGACAATCCCCAAGGTCTTTATAAATTTAACATAGATATCAATTCTCACTTATCAGTAAAGTGCAACCACCTCTGGGGTGAAACATGGCAACCCATTTTACAGTGCACAGCAATACTGCACAACAGTTTGGTGCAAAAGGTGAAAGATGCCATATCCAACTGAAAACACAATGAATTCAGATATTCAGAATGTAATCACCCCAGTTGGAATTTGGCCAGGGCTTGTGGTTAATAGCCCTGTTTATGAAAAGTGCTGAGAGAACTTTACCACAGGTGGTCAGTGCCTCAGACTTGCTTCTCAGCCCAAAGACAGATTAATGTACTGTGGGGAGTCTTATGTTAGCATTAGCGGTGCTTCTTCTATTTCTGAGTTTTATACATAAGTAAAAAGAACTCTATAGCAGTGTAATAAGAACAGTAGGAATAGTTATATGTCCACAGTTCTTATTGGAAGGATAAAGAAAAGCTATGTAAGTCCTTAACCATATTTTAAATTTGGAATGTATTTGGGCCTAGAAAGCTCTAAACATAAAAGTAATGGGTGAAAATCTCTGCTCCGTATTAAATTGACCCAGCATCAGAGCAGAGAATTTGGCCCTATATCTGGTGTGGTTTTCAACACCTTTTTGTTACCCTGGTATCCTCTAGGTCTGCTAAATCAGCCAGTGTGAACACTGGATTTGAAGTGCCAGTGTTCCAACATGGTTGTAATATTTCTGACACACTACAATAGAACACACTCCTGACAACAAATTCATAGACATTATCTGAGTCTGGAAAGTAATCACCTCCAGAGGAGGAACAATTCTGCTCGGAAGCTGACTGTACCATGATTACAGCATGATTTTTATAGAATTAAATAGTTTGATAGTTTCAGTATAAATTCACATGAAGAAGGATATATTTTTAATTGTTTAGTTGAATTTAGTTCTGGTAAAAGGTACCAGATTTACAATGCAGAGATTGAAACCCTGTGCCCACAGAGCACATTCAGCACAGGATTCAGCACATTGTGCAAGAGTCTCGGGACTGTCCCTTTAATTAACTCAAATAATTCACTGAGCTTCTCCGGGCAGTTCTTTTCTGATCAAATATTTTGAGTTAATCAGTCCCACTTCTGAAAAGGAAAGAAAAATCATTTTTAAAAAACATGCATATTTGTTAATACCAAGTTTCAGAGGAACAGCCGTGTTAGTCTGTATTCGCAAAAAGAAAAGGAGTACTTGTGGCACCTTAGAGACTAACCAATTTATTTGAGCATGAGCTTTCGTGAGCTACAGCTCACTTCATCAGATGTACATGCTCATGCTCAAATAAATTGGTTAGTCTCTAAGGTGCCACAAGTACTCCTTTTCTTTTTGTTAATACCAAAACCTTCTTGCAGTTGTTGAACACTTGTAGTACAATGAAGTTGAAAAACTGAGCTGTCTGGAATAGTTAAACTGAAAGCCAAGTCATACATTGCAATTCTGTGTCAGACTCAGCCTGGTTCAGAATGCTGACTTTTTCCCCTTTAGTTAAGAAAAAAAAAAAGTTAGGTACATTCTCTCCCCGCCCCCCATTCTGTAAATGTAAAACTGTGTAAAGAGTGAATTTAGTAAAACAAGTCCAGAAATCTCATTCCAATATTTGCTGAATCTGATCCAAGCATCCTGTCTACTGATCAACTTACACCTCTACTCAAAGACTTGCTTAAGAGAAGTCTTGTATGGTAATGTACATAGCAAGAAGTGCAGTGTTGATTATATATTATTCTCTAAGGCTACCTATAGAGCAATACACAATTAAAGAAGTTATCTCTGTCTGCATGATAGAATGACAAGCCATAAAATGAATTCAGTCTACAGGACCCATTTGAGGGCCAGATACATTAATTGCCAAAGGTTCTCTTTAATGTACCACAAATACTGTAGCAGTTGCTAGATTTGACAAGATTATGTTTAAAACAGAAGCATTCCTTGAACTTAACAATATATTTGAAGGTCAGATTTTTAGTTTTCGCTTGTCACAAATATTAAAGTGCATAATTTACTCTGATATAACAGCAACCAAAATAGATATTGGAAGTCCCGCCAAGAGTTTATTCTTTTTTTAAAAAAGCTGTAAGTACTGGTGATGGTGGTGGTGATGCTTTATGCTCTGTCCAGAGGTACATAGATTTTGACACTACCATCAAAGCTAGAGAAGAAAATCTATTATTTATGCCAAAGAAAGGAATTTCAGCCCTTTGGGATGAACACAAAAATAACTGCCTTCCTTTTTGCCATCCATATACTAACTCTCATTGGATAACTAATTCCATCAAACAGATTTTTGCAGATACAGCATCTCTGTTGGTTGTGTTCATTTAAAATAATCTCATTTTAAAAATGTTTTCAGACTGACAGCATGAGATCTTCAGGTATACAGGAATTGGTAATATAATGCAATGGTATCGTTATAAAATATTGCAGAGAAAGAGAAAGTTTAACCGTCGCATTGGCTCTTCCCCTACTATGTTGCGAATCAACTCCAAGCAACGTTAATTGACCCTTGCTATGCCCCCTATTCTGGCAGCAGCTGTGAGGGCTGGGAAGAGTAGACCTGTTTAAATTGAAAATTCTTTAGAACAAGGATTGTGTTCCATCTTGGCTGTAAAGCATTGAGAACAATAGAGCCCCGATCTTGATGGGGCCTCTGGATGCTAATGTAAGCAAAGCTAAAGGCTTTGAAGATAATCAGAAAAAAAAAGAGGCATGTAACTGAAGAAACAATTCCAAACGGTTAGAATTTGGAAGGAGATTTACAAATATTAACAGAATTATCCTCATAACTCTCAGAGGTAAGAAGGTGTGCAATTCCAATTTACTGATGGGTAAAATGATGCAGAGAATCTGTGCACATTCACTCAGCAAGGCAGCGGCTGTGCAGGATTAGAACTCAGGAGCTTCTCACTCCTAGGTAGCCCTGAGCTTCAACCGATATGCAGCAGAAAAATACTGGGGATATTTTGACGTTTTCAAATTCTCATCCGTATTTTATAGTTCATTATTTATTTGGAGTATATCAAAAATGTTCTAGATTTTTCTATTTGTATATTGCTTGTGGTCAAACTGCTAAAATGCCACATTATGTTAGTGTAAGGGATGCAGTTACTGTAGGAAATCCATGGCAAATATGTTTTTATCTATAGCCTTATATTTTTCCAGATGCATGCAAAACACCATGGATGGTCCTTCTGACACTGTTGAGGACTACCTGTGTGACCCTGAAGAGATGCCTCTTGGTGCTAGAAGATGCACATTGCCATGCCCTGAAGACTGTGTTATGTCTGAATGGGGCCAGTGGTCTAGATGTTCCTTGGTAGGAAACATGTTAACAACTTGACATTTAAGGTTTCAAGACTATTTTATTTAAAGAAAGTAAGCCTCAAGTTACTATGCAGAGATGCTACACTTAACAGTAGACACACATGCAAATGATTATAAGTTCCTATCAACTGCATTACTGGCAACAGCAGATTGTCAACCATCCCATCAAGAGGGCAGCGTGTCAGCAGTTCTTCATTAAAAGCAGTTGCTCAAGAAATCACCTCTTAATGTTGACACTTTCATGAGCTATTGCCCTCCATTTTTAGGGAAGGTTAATTTTGGATGAGCCAGCTTTGGTAATATTTAAAGACCCCACAGTTCTTAGATCCTGTTCAATCTGGCTTTATCTCTCTCTGTAAAAACACAGTAGGGGCAGGACTACACTAAAACGCTGCAGTGGCCCAGCTACACTGATGCAGCTATGCTGCTGAGGTGCTTCAGTGAAGATGCTACCTTCACCAAAGGGAGAACTTCTCCCATTGGTGTAGGTACTCCACCTCTGCGAGAGGCGGGTAGCTATGTCAGTGGGAAATGTGCTGTATCACAGTGGGTTAGATCGGTATAATTATGTCAGAGATGTGGCATTTACATACCCCTGAGTGACGTGGTAATACCGATGTAAGTTTATAGTGTAGACTTAGCCTGGGTGTTCTTTAATGAGATAATTATCTGTGAAGAGCAAAAAGATGCGGGTAAAAGACTTAGGTGAAATTAAAGATAGCTTAATCCATCAGCCCTGTGTTTTTTGGCTGTCTGGAGTCTCAGGTGAGAAAGCAAAGCCAGTGAGGCTAAAAATGCGGTTCTCAATTTCAGAAGCTTGGGGACTTAGGGTTTTTTCCTCAGCATCTGAGTCAGTGCACTGCAGATTTTGGAGAGACAGCTCATAATCTGGAAATTCAGATGTTCAGTTGCTTTAAGGCAGTATCAATGAAATGTGAACTAGATAGGGAATTATTAAGGCATTACCAAGGTAATTCGGTATTATTAATTCCTAGGTATTATTACTAAGATAAAATAGGAAACTAAATCCTCCCATAAAATAACAAGGAAACAGTCCCTTCTAGGCAAAGTATAATGTCATTGTTTTACATTACCATTTTGTAAAAAGGATGCTTACAAGGCTATTATGTTTGTAGGTAGAGAGATTGAATATATCAAAAATAATTGTTTCTGTTTTCCTTTTCAAGCCCTGCAATGGAAGTAACGTGCGTGAAAGGTCAGCGGAGCCTCTAAGACAACCTGATGAAGGAAAGGCTTGTCCTGCTTCCACTGAGACAGAACCTTGCAGTCTGAACAAAAACTGTTACCACTATGATTACAATGTGACAGGTATTAGCGTCCTTAAAATCTAATAACAGGCTGTAAAAATATAAGAGCTCTGCCTATTTTCACAATTTAGTTCTACATACAGCTAAAAATTAATGTATGAGTCAAGTTTGCCCAGTTAGCACCTGGCTTTAAACCAGGGCTCATGGTCCTTTACTTCTGATCCAAAAGAAGTACTAGAGGAATCCCTTTCACTCAGTCTTGCTAAAGTTGCTCTCAGCAGGTAGTAAAGAAGAGCTGGTTTGGCTATGCTACAGCTGCTTCCCTTAGAGTTGAAGTTTTGGCCTTCCAGAAGCCCCTACCCCTCCCTGCAACTAACTATAACCCTCTGTCTGCCACCATATCCAAGGTGTTTCTCTTGTTAGTGAGGCCCTCTCTGTTTGTAGTGAAACTGTTAATAGTGAAACTGTAGTGAAACTGTTAATAGTGAAGGGGGGTTGTGTGTAAGAAGAAATAAAATACCTATAAGAGGCATTCATTGTACTCAAAGTATAGGTCTTTCTGGTTTCCTGTGTTATGTAATATGGTTTGTACAGTCTGTAGTGAAAATAGAGTGAAACTGTTTGATGATTCAGAGAAAATGCTCTTGAGGAACTGTGTAATTTGAGACTCATATGATTTCTATAGCCCTAGAAAGCCTATTTCTCTGGCCATTATATGTGTGTGTGTGTGTGTGTGTGTGTGTGTGTGACTTGCCCCAAAAAAATCCAGATAAACACAATATTTGACTTTTCAGAAATACATCATGTCACTGGGTACCTAACTATGGTTATTTCCAATATGTCTCGCTAATGGGTTCCATGAGCTTTTCGAATGTGTAAAAATTGATTCCGAGGGTTATTTTTAGGCTGTTTGAATTAAATGTATTATTCAAGTAATCAAAGCTTCATCAGAAATCAGTTTCATTGGCATCCTGTCCTGATGGTTTCGTTTATTTCCAGACTGGAGTACATGTCAGCTCAGCGAGAAGGCAGTTTGTGGTAATGGCATCAAAACAAGAATGCTAGATTGTGTTCGCAGTGATGGCAAATCAGTTGACCTGAAGTATTGTGAAGTGGTGAGTGGGAGGCTCTTTTCCTTTTGTGACTAAACTCTTCCTAATAGCTTTAATTCATGCTGAGCTAGCTGACCTGTGCTGCATGTAACCCATCGCCAACAGATGTTTCTTAAAATTATTCATGGACTGCTAAGTACCCCTTGAAATGAGGCTGTGTCATCACCTGTGATTTCTTCATAAAATTTCCTCTGATAGCTTATGTGTGCACCCACAAAGGGGTGCTGATGATTATATCCTGAAAGAAATGATTTGGGAACAATAAGCAATCATGGCGAATAAAGGTAATAGATCTTAATCAGAATGCAAATCATTCCAATTTGATGTGATTTCTGTGTAGTACCTTGGACAGCTGCCGATATCAATCATTTATTCAGTGTGTTGCTAACCGTGTGTCATGTGCCATTCTGCAGCCAGGCTGAGTGCTAGCTTCTTGTACCCAGCTGTGTAAGATGAGAAACATCCAAGCTGTGTGAAAAATTTGCTGCATTAACAAGGAAATGGAACTTCTTACATAAGCATGTTCAGTGGGAGTAATATTCAGCAGATGGATCACCTTAATTTTATGTAACTGTTTCATGAATCCGTTTTTAAACGACTGCTCAAGGCAGATAATACTATTGCTTTTGTCATTTCATGGGTCTGTTAAAGGAGACTGTATCTAGTAATGAGTGATACTGTACAGATCATGCCATGAAGGACTATGGGGAAGAATACACCAAGGTTTGCATTACAGAGAAATCTTCCTAGTTGTTCCAATGGAAAGTGGATGAAATTGCCTCAGCCCCCAAACAGAACAGACATTAAATCACCTGAAAGCAGGAGACTAGAATCACAGCCACAGAGACCATGTGCCCTCCACAATAGCTCAATTTTATCAGCATCCTTTCCCCCCTCTCCAATGGACTTCCCTTGCCGACAGCTGCTTCTCAGGACTCGTCGTTAAGAGGGAGGGTTGCCAGTGCTGGAGGGAGCTATGAAAAGGTAATATATACTGGGCAGTGTTACATTTGAGAGAAATTCTGCCAGGCTGGTGCTGTTGTTACCCAGGGTTCTTTCAACCCAAAGCTCTTGGTAACTTTTACTCTGTGCGAGGTGGTGTCAGGAAATAAATCAGGGGAGACACGGCTGTCCGACCGATAGATGGCTGGCACAAACGGGATAACACAAGAGTGCTTTCACTTAAAGCTAAACTTTACTTAGTCTCAAGCACTTATACAGCCATCTGCAACAGGTTAGTAAAACACCCCCAACCCTTGATAATTACCAAAGCTGAGTGTGGCTCTCGAGTGACACAGCGGCAGGCTTCTGGTCGCCAAATCTTCCATCTGCCGGTGAGGACTGCAAGATGTATCCAGAGGAGAGTCCAGAAAGAGTCCAACTACCTCAAACTTTCCCCCCTTATTTATACATTAGACATGTCCCTTAAAGAAAACTTGTTACAAGCAGTTTCAGTGGTCCAGCAAAAGGTTCCTTCTGATTATCAATTAACCAGGTGTGGGTTTTTCCAGAGTTTGCAGCCTTGAGGCCCCCAATAGACATTCCTGGGGCACATTCTGCTCTTCTAAAATACATGTATCAGCCACTTCAACACAATTCTTATCAGGAAGGACGGGGGGTCAAGCTGCCCTCTCTGTGCCACCCAAAGACCCCCCTCCCCTCCTGCCTTGCTTAAGCTAAGCCTGCTGACTTTGCCAATTTACAGCCTTCTGTCTTGGTTGCTTTTAGCAATAAGCCATAGTGGTTTCAGGCACTTTACTGGTTTTCCAAAGTCTCCCCGTACACTGTTTGTGTCCCTCCTGATCTGCCCACTCCTCTCCCAACTCACTCAATGCCCATGTGGAACTCTGAACCCAAAGGTTCTGAGCAAAGGATGCTGCAGTGGAGGCCACTAACATATCCTCTCTTCTGAGCACACAAGGTTTTCCTCTGCATATGGATCTTGGGAGTATGATCAGCCCTATTAATATGACCATTTACATTCTAAAGTCTCAGGGCAAAAAGTCAGTCCTTGGATGCCTGCCAGCAAACTCCACAGAAGTTAATAGGAGCTGTTTGTGCATTAGAAGACAGAATTTGGTGCTTAAGCTATTTTTAGGAGATTACCATATTGATTATTATATAATGAGACATTGTATAAGTTATGGTCTGTCCATGTGAACATGTCAACAGAATGAATGCCTTTCATGAAACAATAAGTAAAAATGGATTTCTTTCTCGGTAAAGCTGTAGTAGTTCATCCCATATATTAGTGATTTATTATGTATCTACAAACTGTGAATTTGGGCAGTATACAGGGCAAATTATTGTTACTTTGTAAATAGAGATCTCATTGGAGAAGCCTTGAGCAGCTTTTCCCTTATTAAGGGGTGGGTGTTTGGCTGGTTGGACAGTGAGGACGATGGAGGCAGTGAAACAACTATTTCAAAAACATCTGGCCTTGAGTGGCTAGCCAGACAGAAGTCCTGGCAGCCACACCACCATTTACCAGTGACCGCAGCAATACAGTCCTACTTTGGGAGGACAACATACAATCAGGGCCGGCTCTACCGTTTTTGCCACCCAAAGCAGTGAAAAAACCCCAAACCTGTCACTGCCAAATTGCTGCTGTGGACTGCAGGAGAGAGAGAAGCTGCCGCCAAATTGCTGCCGCGGCCAGCGGAACGCAGAAGCTGCCACCGAATTGCCGCCACCGCGGAAACTCTGTTGCCCCTTTCTGACTGCCGCCCCAAGCACCTGCTTGGAATGCTGGTGCCTGGAGCTGGCCCTGCATACAATGATCCACTAGGTTTTTAATTCAAGACCACAGAGGGTATTCGCGTAGTCTGCATATACAAAGCCCTGATACATGACCAGTCTTACCATTCAGGCCCTTCTATTTGTTATGTTTTATGAAGAAGTGGCACATCAAGGTCAGTGACTAATCCAATAACTGTAGCATAAGACCTGTTTACCTGATTAACAAGAAAGCCAAGCTGTTGGAATCTTAAAAGACCTTTCATTCTGGGGGAGTGAAGGTGAACAATGTGAACTTCCATGTCATCAGAAGAAGTGGGATTTAAGAAATGACAGACTTTTCTATGTACTATGCACTTTTTGCTAATCTGATTAAAAGTGTTCTCTTTATATTTTTATAATGTGTACTATATGCATTGTAGTAAACCCTTTTTAATCTCATTTCCTTAAAGTATGTGTGGTGTGGTGGTGCATAACAAACAGACACCTGTGTCTAACTAATATTACAGACTCATTAGTTATACAAAACTCATTCTATGTTCATGTACAGATACATCAAAATTGGTAACTGTCATTGTTTTTACTTAAGGTAGATGCAGAGAACAGAGATCAGAATAGCCATCCCTAATCTGAATTTTTAATAAGTAGAGATATTATCAGCCAAAATGTTATGGCTACATATAATTACATTATCCAAGAGAACAATAAAACCTTATCTTACACTCTGCAGAGCTATCATCATTATATTCAGATGCAAGCTTACGCCCAGTAAAATTCTAAAATTCCATCCTGATGCTATACCAGTAGTTACTGTCCTAATGCGGTCTGTATGATTTGACATTAGTTTCAGTCAATCGGCTAAAGAAGTTATCCAATCATCCTGATTACTGCCAGGATAAATCAATTTCCAGAGCTTTTTTCCAAATTGTATATTTCTGTGTAAACTCTCAGGGAACATTAATAGTGGATCACTTGGTCGCTGTCTGTTGTAAAATTAGCACATCACGGAACTCTTCCTGCCATTTCCTTGGGCTCTTTAAAATTCAAATCACCTAATTCACGATGTCTCCCCCACCTCACCCTCTGCAAATACCTGTGAGTTTATTGTTACTCATTTACTTGCATTTACAAATCTGGAGACAAGCATTTTGTCTGTATCGGACAGCAAGCTTCACTACTTTATTAGTACACACACTGTTGGTCAGCCTTACATGATAAATCTCCAGCCGAGGGTAGACAAAGGTCTCTTGTTGAGTAACAAATATACTTGCAGACATGCAAGTGTGTGTCTATGAACACAAAGTAACACAATTTGCAGAGGACGCTTGTCTGGCAGTCTGCTGCCCCCTGCCAGGTATAGCCAAGAATACAGAATGCTTAACTTTTACATATTCAGCACAACTTCAGTATTTGAAAATTACTAATCAGAAACCACCTGTTATCCAACAGAAGGCTGTGACCATTGGGATTTCCAGATGAGGGAAGTTTGTATATTTTTCCAAATGCTTAGCCAGCCACAGTTTCCAGGGCCAGGAAGCTCAGAGGGACTTCTTATACCAGAGAAAAGGGAGAGGAACAATGGATAAATAGGAGAGAGTTGGGGTCCTGATTACAGTGAACTATAGTGCATTTCAGCACACCAGGCTTGGGGAAGCCAGCCAGCACTCTGTAATCTGGGCTGTGACTCTCTCCTGTTCACCCTTTGCTTCCCTCTTGGGCTTCTCTTTTTCCAGCTGCTGAAGTCCTGCTGAGCACGCCAGCCTCGGGGAAGCCAGCCAGTTCTCTGTAATTGCATGGAGTCGGCTCTGCGGGCTTTGAAGTCTATGCTCAGAAGAGCTGACCCTGAGAGCAGACTTCCAAGCCTATTGGCTAGTTTTCTGATTATCCAACCCTTGATTATCAAAGGCTTTCAGGTGCTCTGAGAGCTTCGGGTAATCAAGGTTACTCTGTACAACAGAGAAAAAACAGGAATTCATTGGTTGATCCATAAAACAGAACAGAGGTCTCCTACCTCATTTGTCTCAGTAAATGACACTGCAAATGTAAGTCTAATACTGCCAGTATATCAGGGTCAGAAAGCTACCATATGTGCAGTATATCTATGGAGTGCTCATTAATGGGCCTAAGTGCTGGTCTGTACTAGGTTTGAGTGGGAAAGAGTGTTTTTATTTCCATTTGAAATCTAATTACTGGTTTTATGTTCTTATCCTTTGCAGTCATTTTTGTAATGTGTTTCAAGTTGTCTAGGTATCTTAGAAAGAGATTCTGTATGTTTTTTAATCATATAGCTTCAGATGGATAGATCCCTATCTGCAGCCTTCTGGTCACTAAGGCCCAGATCTGCAAAGGTATTTAGGCTCTTAACTTCCATTGATTTAAATGAAAGTTAGGCTCCTAAATATCTTTGCGGATCTGGACCTGAAAGACATAGATTAAATTCAATCCACTGCATAAAGGAAAGAACTTGTCACAACTGGAAGTTGCAGACCTGTTTTATGTTCATATGATTTCCTATCAGATTCCACATCTGCTCCCTATGCTGGACCTGTCCCTTCCACTAATGTTGGAGCTTTGTAGGATGTGTACTATGCCCTAAATTCTGTCTGTCTGTCTAGTCCTCCATAATACTGCTTCCTTTTTATTTTAATTTTGACAAATCTATAAATTAAAATTACAGAGCTGTATTCCTCCATCTTTGGGCCCTGATTCAGGAAATCACCCCTGTTTTTGAAGTGTGTTTAAGCACATGCTTAAATCCCCCTGGCGAAAATGGGATTTAAGCATTTGCTTAGGAGTTAAGCACAAGCTTAAGTGCTCTTCTGAATTGGGGCCCTAGTGAGGCTAATATATTCTTGATTTTTCTTTCTCTTTAATAATTATTAAATCTTTAATCAAATGTGATTAGCTCAAATTCACCCTGTTCTCAGTAGTATAGGCTAGACTAGTGGGACAGACCACACTTCACATGCTGACAGATGTGTCTCCTCTTTTAGCTTGGCTTGGAGAAGACGTGGCAGATGAATACCTCCTGTGTGGTGGAATGTCCTTTGAACTGTCAGCTTTCTGACTGGTCTCCATGGTCTGAGTGTTCCCAAACATGTGGCCTTACAGGTTAGTCTGTTCTTGGAATATCTTTATGGCTGAGCATTTTTTAAAAATCCAACACAACTAATAATCTGCCAGGAATTTGAAGAGTAGTTGATTAGAGAGAGAATGATAGGGGGCCTAAGTCTGGTTTTCCTTTTCCAGGCAAATAGTAGGCTTCATTGAGGTATACGTGGTTAAAGTGAAAAGGATTTGGCCCACACTGGAAAAAAAATTCTGACTCAATAAATAGATATGAGATATGACAAATGATACATGACTTTGCCAGAGGAGATTGACCATACTGGGCATATTAAACATAGATGTCCCAGCAATGGGAGATTTAGCTTTACAACTCTCATTAATATTATTGAGATAAGAAAATCTAAGTCATAATACATGGCTCTTGAAAGTTTAACCCACCATAATAACAGTCATCACATACTTCCTCTTTTTTTATACACAGAAAATAGGAGATTTTGCTTTCGAAGAGCTAATATTTTAATTTTATTTTTATATAGAATATAAACACATAATGAAACAAATCACATATAGATACATGCACAAGATGGAAATAGCATATAAATAAAATGCAATGTCCATTATTTGTAAAACCTGGAAAACAAAACAAAAAAAAAAACAAACCTGAACCCAAAGAGGTCAAGCAGGGCATCAATTATTAAAGTGACTAAATAGATAAATAAGTGATAACATAACCTATGAGTATTGGGGACTAATATATACTAAACTGCAAAAGTATGCAATAGTGAGACCAGACATGCTCATATTTTTTCCATAGTTTCTATTAAACAGAGTCATTTTTTTCCATTAATGGAGTAGTAGAGAGCTCACTTAGCCAATCTGTATGTGTGAGGGAGGAATTGCAGATTTACATTTTCTAAAATTATCTCTTTTGGCCTCTAAAATAGTTACTGCATCCACTTCTTAATGTTAACTGGTAATACCAACTCCTCCAGCACCCCTCAAATATATAAGCTTGTAGAAAGAACGATAGCAACACTTAAAACGTTTTTGAGAGAGTACTGACCGTGGCATTCCAGAACACCTCCATTTCTGACAGATGTGTGAAAGGTTGGCATGTGGCCATTAGCATCTCCAACATTAATTGTGCGTTACCAATCTAGCCTTAAACGAACATTGTGGAGTGCAGTAGTACTTTTTAATATCTTTTTCTGGAAGAGTTGCAAGGATAAAGAACTTGAAGTATCTTTCACATTAAGCCAGATATCCCCTCAGGTTTCTGTTCTGATAGTAAGGCTAAATTCTTTTCCCCATTTTTCTTTGAGACTGAGACTGAGAGCGTAATGCAAACCTTAAGCCACCTATAAATAATTCCTCCAAGGTTTTGTTTCCATGTGTCTTAACATGTTCTTCTAGAAGTGAGAGTTGAAACAGACCAATTGTCCCCTATCCTTGGATGAATCCTTGAGCATAGCTGCTGAAAGAAGGAATTGTGAGACAGCAGTAGCTGATATTTGTTACATACGTAATCTAAGGAGGACAGTCTATCATCTTGTATTATATCCTTAATTTTTGTTAATCCTTTTTCTCTCCCAATTGTCTTAAGCATGGAGTTGGCCTTGATCCTGAGGCATAGGTTATCCCATAGTGGTACAAGAGGAGAATTAGTAAGATCAGATGCTGTAATCATCTTAATGTGTTGCAGGATGCATTGTGCAGATGCAAAGATTGGATTTTTTCTTAAGGGTATGGGAAGCCTCTTAAGATATGTAAAAGAAGAGAGAGGGAAGCAAATGGCATAGCTAAACTTTCTTCAGTCTCAAACCAGGTTGGTTTGTATACCGAGCTACTGGAAGGGAACCACCTTACAACAGGCCAAATTTGGAATGCTAGATAATGTAGGTACAAATCTGGCAACCACATAGTTGCCCAGGATGTGACAAGTGATGCCATTTTTTATCCCATATAAATTGCATCATAGGCCCATTTATTTGAGCAAAAAGCAAGGGAGAGGCTTTGAAAGGCAATAGGCTAATGATATAAATCAATCTTGGGCAGATATTCATTTTGGATATTTCTGTTCTCCTCAGTAAGGGTAGAGGGAGGAGACCCTACCTCTCTACATCCCTGGGCATTTCTTTTAATATGTAGTCCATATTTATAGAAACATATTTGGGAAGATGAGGACAAATGTTAACACCTAAATTAGTTATTTCTTTGTATATTTGAAATGCAAATCACCAGCATTAAAAGATTTTTTTTAAAAGTGGGGGATTAGGTTGAAACTATTCTTCTTCCATTCATGTCTGAATATTGCAGTATGTAGATTAGTGGTATGTTATTACTAGGGGAAAATAATTTTGTTATTATTTATTTGTATTGAAGTAGCACCTAGTCAGGAATCAGAACCCCATTGTGCTAGGCACTGTACTCACATAGAACAAAAAGATGGTATGTACTCCAAAGAGCTTATAATGTAAGTATAAAAAACATACATTTAACATTATTACAAAAATTTCCTGATAACATAGTTAATAATTTTCTACTGTGGTATTTAATTATTTTAAAGTATTTCTATTTTGCTCATCACCACAGTGTCTGAGCCCTTCACATACACATTGTAGGATTTGCAGTAGAAGTGCTTGGAGAGTTTATCATTACTTAGACATTAACAGAACAAGTTAGAGATGGAGACCAGATTTTCAAAAGTGCTCAGCAGCCACAAAGGGGGCCAGATTTTCAAGAGCTCTGCTCCCATGTAGACTCCAAAATGGAGTGGCCATTTTTTAAAAAGCGCTGAGTACCCAGCACCTCCCATTGTTCTGAGTTGGAGCTATTGGTTGGTGAGCTCTGCTGAAAATTTGGTCACAAGTATCTAGGGAAATTTCCTATTAAACATGGGATATGTCTACACTTGGAGCTGGGGGGAAGACGGGGGCATGGTTCTCAGTTCCAGGAGACATACCCATGCTAGCTCTGATCAAGCTAGTGCACTAAAAATAGAGTGTAGTCATGGCAACATGAGTGGCAAGAGGGCCTAGCCGCCCTGAGTACATACCTGTCAGACCAGTGGCACATATTCACGGCAGCTAGCTGGGAATCACACCCCCAGCTTGAAATGTAAAAATACACATTGTGTATATATGTAGGTAGGTAACTATACCCCCCAAATATATTAAAAAATAGCAACATTATTTTAAAATACCTCTTGAGGTTTCATTGCTTTTTATGGATCTTGACATTCCTAAATATATCTATTTGATGTTGCTAACAGACAGTAAATTGATTTGGACAGGGGAAAAAATCTCATTCTGTATTAAAATAACATCAATTTTAGGTAGGTTTCCATACAGTAACAAAGTCTAGAACGTAGAAGGCTGATTAGCTCTCCTTCCATCTTGCACTAACATAGGCCGGTACACTTTTGGAATGGTTTTGCACATAGCAATTGCATCCTGTGCTGGGTTTTCAACTCATTACCGTGAGGTCAGAGTTCACTTTCTTTCCTCTGTGAAGCTCCAACTGCAAGAGCTACGGATGCAAAATTATGAGGATCCACTTGACAAACCTTTTTTCACCTACTTACAGTGAACACAGGAGTAGAGAGGCCAAAAAGGGGGCTCCCTTTCTGCAAAAATTGTTGTTTTTGAGATAAAGTTTTGTCCTGAATTGGGACAAAATATCAAAACTCCAAACATTTTCACAGAAAGGGATTTAAAAGAAAAGTTACATTTTGGAACAGCTGAAGTGCAATTTATCAATTTCCCAGCTGTGTTAAGGGAAAACGCTTGTCAATTTCTCTGAAGTTGACAAGAGGATTGCAGCCCAGTTACCAGAGTGGCAGAGTCCAGCTACTCCACCTCACACCAACCTACACCCTGCCCCCTTCAGCCAGGTCCAGGAACTAGAGATATGCTGCCCATCCCCTAGATCTAGGGGGAAAGCAGTGTGATTAACTCAAAAAAAATTAATCGTGATTAAAAAAAATTAATCACGCTCACTCGTAGTTTTAATTGCACTGTTAAACAATAGAATACCAATGGAAATGTATTACATATTTTTGGATGTTTTTCTACATTTTCAAATATATTGATTTCAGTGACGACACAGAATACAAAGTGTACTGTGCTCACTTTATATTATTATTTTATTACAAATATTTGCACTATAAAAATGATAAAAGAAATAGTTTTTTTCAGTTCACCTCATACAAGTACTGTAATGCAATCTCTTTATCATGAAAGGGCAACTTACAAATGTAAAGGGTTTTTTTTGTTACATAACTGCACTGAAAAACAAAACAATGTAAAACTTTAGAGCCCAAAAGTCCACTCAGGCCTACTTCTTGTTCAGCCAATTGGTAAGACAAACACATTTGTTTACAATTATGGGAGATAATGCTGCCCGCTTCTTATATAAAAGTGAGAACAGACATTCACATGGCAGTTTTGTAACCGGCATTGCAAGGTATTTACGTGCCAGATATGCTAAACATTCATATGCCTCTTCATGCTTCAGCCAGCATTCCAGAGGAAATGCTTCCATGCTGATGATGCGCATTAAAAAAATAATGTGTTAGTTAAATTTGTGACTCAGTTCCCTGTGGGAGAATTGTATGCCTTCTGTTCTGTTTTACCTGCATTCTGCCATATATTTCATGTTATGATGACCCAGAACATCTTGTTCATTTAAAGAACACTTTCACTGCAGATTTGACGAAACACAAAGAAGGTACCAATGTGAGATTTATAAAGATAGCTATAGCACTTGACCCAAGGTTTAAGAATCTGAAGTGCCTTCCAAAATCTGAGAGGGACAAGGTGTGGAGCATGTTTTCAGAAGTCTTAAAAGTGCACACTCTGATTTGGAAACTACAGAACCCGAACCACCAAAAAAAGAAGAACAATCTTCTGTTGGTGGCATCTGACTCAGATGATGAAAATGAATATGCATCAGTCTGCACAGCTTTGGATCATTATCAAGCAGAAACCATCATCAGCATGGACACATGTTCTCTGGAATGGTGGTTGAAGCATGAAGGGACATATGAATCTTTAGTGCATCTTGCAACGCCGGCTATAACAGAGCCATGCAAATGCCTGTTCTCACTTTCAGGTGACATTATAAACGAGAAGCGGGCAGCATTATCTCCTGCAAATGTCTGAGCAATTGGCTGAACAAAAAGTAGGACTGAGTGGACTCGTAGGCTCTAAAGTTTTACGTTGTTTTATTTTTGAATGCAGTTATTCTTTGTACATAATTCTACACTTGTAAGTTCAACTTTCATGATAAAGATATTGCACTACAGTACTTGTATTAGGTGAATTGAATAATACAATTTCTTTTGTTTTTTAGACTGCAAATATTAGTAATCAAAAATAAATATAAAATGAGCATTGTACACTTTGTATTCTGTGTTGAAATTTAAATCAATATTTGAAAACTGTAGAAAACATCCAAAAATATTTACATACATGGTATTCTATTATTGTTTAACAGTGTGATTAATCGCATGATTAATTGCAATTAATTTTTTTAATCGCTTGACAGCCCTAGTTTCATTTAATTTGTACTAGATTTGACTAAGCATTTCATTCTGACGAATTGGCATTTTTCCAAAGAAACTTAGTTATGCAGCTCTGTTCCCACTTTGTGGCCTGGGTGGGGAGGTTTGCTACAGTTCATACCATAGTCCAGTTAATCTGGGAGCAGGATTTGTCTCTCAGTAGTTAAGGGTACTTAATTCCAAATTCATAATAACAAATTTAATTAAAAATAGACAGATAGGTGAATGGGGGTGGCCCATTTAATCCTGTGAGGTTATGAAGGTAGGTCAGTGTAATGCATTGCAGCACATTACAAATCTACATATATTGGGTACTTAATTTTTAATGTTGTACTCTCTTTGCTTGGTTGTTATTTATTTGTTTTTACATGCTCAGTGCATGTATTTATTCGCATTGAAGTTAAAACCCCATGAAAATATGGGTTTAATTGAACTCTTTGGAAATCCCTATCTATAGAGGAGCTACAACCCCCCACTACATTGCACATAAAAATGTTCTTGTGGCTTCACTGTATCATCTGTCTCAGAAATAAAATCTAATAGTCTGATATTCACCTAAGAGGAAAGAAACAGAATCACCCAAAAGGATGACTAAATACAAAATCTCTTCTTCATTCCATTATATAACTGCTTGAAATAGAATCTAGTCCTCAAACAGGCCTAGGTAGCATGTCACCCTCCATTGAACAGAATATTAATGTCAGTTAAACCTATTATATTTTAATTTTCTTTAGGTCTGGGTAAAATATCCTCTGTCCCTTGAAAATTCTCCATTATAATAAAGCCCAGGGAGACAAAGAAGATAAGTGGCAAGCTCCTTCTGCTTTTTTGAATGTAGACAATCAGCATCTTGTGAATCTGATACATTTCTAAATTTAATACAAGGAAAATGTTGTGGATTAGATACCCATATCATTCCCTCCTAGCAGCACAACTCCAGAACAGTGGAGAACCAAAAGTTCATCTCTCAACAGGGATGCCAAGAACAAAATACCAGATCAGGAAAGGGCACCTGTTTTTTTCCCCAGGCGTCTCAACTAGAAAAGTATTATTTATTTATATTCTAGTAGCAACTTGATTTTCTAATCAAGGATCTCATTGTGCTAGGCACAGTACACACAAATAACAACAAAGAAAGTACATATCTCAGAGTATTTACAATCCACACATTGTAAATACTGGTCTGCTGTGCCGTCCACTGTATTAGGTAAGAATAATGCTAACGTAAAGCTTGTCACAGACTGAAACAGAACCATCTTGATGAGTCAATATATATGACCATCTCAAAGTTGCTTTCTCTCTCTCTTTCTCTCCCTCTCTCTCTTTTAAAGGAAAGATGATACGAAGAAGGACAGTAAATCAGCCTTTTCAGGGTGATGGGAGACCTTGTCCATCTCAGATAGAGCAATTCAAACCCTGCCCGGTAAAACCTTGTTATCGGTGGCAGTATGGCCATTGGGCTGAATGCAAAGTTGAGGTAAAAGATGCAATGGAGATCTGCAATTATTCTGGTCACTGCATCCAGGGATATTTGTGATATGCACACATATAACGTATGAAACGTTTTAGCCATTTTATTCAAATCTTTCAATTCAGGAGCATAATAAAGTGGTTACCATTGGACACCATATATACCAACCAGTACCACAGTTTGCCCTAGTTATTCCTGTTCTAAGTATAGAGTAAAGCTCTGGTATCTGAGATATAACTATGTGGTAACTTAAACGGTTTAACAGCTGCCTATCTGAGAGAGTGCTCTGTCCAGAAAGTGTTTTCACTTATGATACTGCCACAATTTTAGTCAGTATAAATGCTCAAATTTTAGCTTCCTGGTCCTAAAAAGGAGGGAACCTGCAGAGCATCGTCTGTGAGGGCACTATGGCTCTGGCACTTGCTCCCCTGAAATAGTCTGAATGATTGTCATCTTCTTGCTGGTATTTGGGGAGGGCACTGATGGGGGTTTTGTGGGTGAGTTTGACATGCCAGGGTACAATCCAGACCAGAAGTGGGGGCTTCTGTCACCACTGTATATTTTTCTAATCCCCTTTTTTGCTTGATGATTCTGTTTACTGCTTAAATGCAAATTAAGACAAGCATACACTCCTTTGTTCAAGACAGGTCTGTTTGACCACTTTGGTGCTATGTGAGTCTGAATATATATTTTAACATCATACAGGGGAAATTTAGAACTTTATGCATAAAGCTGCTTCACACATTATGCCATTATATTTCTGCTCAGCAAGTTATGAGTTTTCAGATGATACCACACAAGGCATATTATCTTGTACAAAGCATATACAGTAGTGTGTAGGGTGTGAACACGGGTATATTTTGTCCCAGTGAGATATGGTATTTTTATCTTGTTTTGATTTACTGGATGGTTAATTTCATTTTATTGTGTGTAAATAAGTCATTCTGCTGGAGGTTATTCCTTGTAGAGGACTGCTGCTTTAAATAAGAATAATTATTATTATTGATTAATTATTGTTATTATTTCAATTGAAATAATTGGAAAAATACTGATTATTATTTTAATGACATCCACTGTGCTTCCATATAAAAATGACTAGGTGTCTTTCCCGGTCTGAAGCATTGAATGCTACAGGACCTAAATTGGCTTTATTTTTCAAGCCATCAGCATTAAATAAAGTAACAATAATCAGAAAGTCAGATCAGCTTTGATTTAACCACTGAAGACTTATTTTTCTTGCCAACATTTGTGCATCCTCTCCCTTTCCAGGATGCTCAGTGTGGAGAGGGGACAAGAGTCAGGAACATTTCATGTGTGGTCTCTGATGGATCCACTGACGATGTTGGCAAAATAGTAGATGAGGAATTCTGTGGAGAAATTGAGCCTATTATTGATGGCAATAAGAAGATGGTACTTGAGGAAACCTGCACCCTTCCTTGTCCAGGTAACAAATTTGTTCAGATATGTGTGTTGCATTTCAAGATTGGTCAACCTGAGATGGCCTACAGTACAAAGGAAAAAGATGATTAGCCACAGGCTGTGAAGTCTTTACCACATTCACCTATTGAACTAACGGAATTACTTTTTATCAGTAGTTTCACAAGAGTGACCGTACTTTGTGATACTAATAAAACGGTGACTAGGGAAAGGAATACATGCATTTACAAATGTTTTTAAAATAATGTTTGGCATAGACTACTCCAGTAGGCATTTTACTTTTGAACAATTGGCACAAAAATCATAAATGTTACTTTACCACACAAGAAATAAAGTGTTAATTGGAATATGAGAAGAATCCATTTCATGGATATTTAAATAACAGACTGTCCAAAAAACAGAGGGTTTGTTGTTTAAATGTTCTTTTTAAGCATGTGAACAGCTTTTTTTATTAAACTGAATCAGGGTCTAATACTTTTGTTTGTTTTTAATGGAATTAAGGAAATAGACAAAGGAGGTTTAGTGCTTTTTTAAATAAGGTCACATTGGGGGCCAAGGAATGTTTTTCTGAGAAAATATCATTCTTAGTCCCTCCACTAGCAACAAATGCATGACACTCACATTGACCCAACAGATGTATCTAAAGGCGCTGTTGTGGTTTGTCAGATCTGTGACCCTCATACTAAGAAGGATTAAGAAGAGACCATAACAGCTGTTAAAGATGAACTGCAAAGGTTTTGCTGAAAATTAAAAACTTGTCTGTAAGTTCCAAAAGGGGGGCGGATGTCGCTGCTGTTATTAAAGTAATTAGTGCTGTAGTATTGGAAGTATTGATTAGCTCTTTCCGTTCCCAAGAAATTTAAGATATAGATTTCCTGTTTTCTCTGCCAAAGCACATCTCATCACAATAGCCATTCCATACCAAGCCTGTATCTTCATTGCTTCACAACTCTTTCAAACCTATTCGTTTTGGACTGAAATGTAGTGTGTCTTAGCAACAGTCTAAAGGTGAAATTTTCTAGAAATCTGTTGAGCTGTTTGAGTTCTAAGAGGTGTGTCTACATTTTGCACTCATCTAAAAGTGCAATTAGCTATTTCATTGACATAGCACTTTTCATCCCAAAGAATCCTGCACCACTTCACAAACTGAGTTTGAAACCGTGAGCAAAAGTCCCATTCACTTGAATGAGAGCAAGCAGACAGCTGATACAGAGCAATGGTTCTCAACCACGGGTATGTGTAGCCCTGGGGGTACGCAGAGGTCTTTCAGGGGGTACATCAACTCTAGATATTTGCCTACTTTTACAACAGGCTACATAAACAGCACTAGCAAAGTCAGTGCAAACTAAAATTTCATACAGACAATGACTTGCTTACACTGGTCTACATACTATAGCTCCAGTTCTCAAACTGTGGGTGAGTTCATTTTAATGGGACCAACATTAGACTTACTGGGGCCCAGGGCAGAAAGCTGGAGCCCAAGCTCTGCTGCGTAGGGCCAAAGCCTGATTTTTTAAGTGAGATGAAACTTGTAGTACGCAAGGCAAATCAGACTCCTGAAAGGGGCACAGTAGTCCGGAAAGCTTGAGAACCACTGATATAGAGCACTCCACTCACTAATGTGAAAGGGAGAGATTTTGACCAAGGACGTCACTATTCTTACTACAAGTCTCATTAATGTCAATGCAGAGTAGACACAGCTGTGGTTTCCCCAAATTTAAGAAATATTTTAATTAACAAATTGTGTACTGTCAACAAACAGTTCTGCTTTCTAATAGAAAATCAAAAGACTTAAGTGGTATAAGATACTCCATTTTGTAATTGATTGATTTTGTTCATTAAATTTAAGAAACATAGTTGTTCACTGCTCAGCCTTTAAATTTTGCCGAATAATGACCTTTGTTTGAGCAACCTCACGTTTAGCCAAGGAGAATAACTACCCTGTGGGGATGTGCTAATGATACACTCTAACTAAGTTTTCCAAAAAGCACTTCCTGCTCTCCTATTATAGATACATCAGTTCTTCAATAATTCATTTTTTTTACATGATTTCTTAATGTCAGCAAATAAAATTCCTTCATTAATTAGGCATCCGGTCAACATGGTGCTTATTATATTTGTTGTCAGCATAATGTAAGGTAACATGAATTTTTAATGGTCTTTTTGCTGAAATAATTAAAGCTAAAGAGGCTCATTTACAAGTCTCTTTGTGTTTTAATTTTCTAGACATCTTTTACACAGCAATATTAGCAAAACTGTCTTTACACCATGCTTCAGACTTCCTTAAAATATTCACTACGCTGCTGTGAAAATTAATGTTTGTTAGTGTGATTTTATTCCTCAGTCTTGAACCATAAGATAATACCGTGTAGATTCCTACCATCATAGAATTTAGAGAAGATATTTTATATCACCTGTGCCAATCTCATTTCTGACAAGAAATGTTCCCCACAGTAAGAGCTTTTCCCAGTCTACTTCCCTAATACATTTAAATGATAATGGCCTGTTTCCTACAAGTGGAGCAGAATGAGCAAGAATTAACCTTGACTTTCCAACTGGTTATATATACATTGTCTTCTTCTGAGCTTATAGAAAGTGAAGTTTATCATGAAGATAATGTGGAAAAATAGGCTGGAGCACAGCATACCGTGCCTTTCCATTTGTGAAAGGCCAAATGTTGAATGCAGTTTTTGTCAGAGACTGAAAATGAGAGCAACTTAGTACTGCTATGGAAATGCTACAGTTGCTTGGAATGCTTCAGCATAAATAGGGTTTTGTAACACTTCAATTTCCTTGAAGAATCATTTCTTTTGTACAGAAATTAAAATAAGCTGGTGTTCTGTCACCTATATTTTCATAGGATGAAGGTAAGTATGGGTCTAAATGGAGAAATATTCTTTACTAATTAATGAGGCAGAGTTAAAAGGCATTATTTGGATCAGAACCTTCTATGGCCTTTACAGGTAGTATTCAGAACTCCCCTGGTATCAACTCTTCAGCTTTGTTACATCATTGTTGTTGGACAGGTGATTGTTACTTGAAAGAGTGGTCAGAATGGAGCCTTTGTCAGCTGACCTGTGTTAATGGAGAAGATCTTGGGTTTGGAGGGATACAAGCCCGATCCCGGGCAGTGATCATTCAGGAATTAGAGAACCAACACCTCTGTCCAGAACAGGCTTTGGAAACAAGATCATGTAACGGTGAGTATCAAAACACAGAAAATAGGCGACCGCTATTTTAATGTAAGATGAATAAAACTTTTTCTTGGCCAAATTTTGGTTGTGAGGTTGAAAAATGTTGCAAATAATAATTGCGTGGACAGCTGCTTTGTAATTTCATCCAAAAACGTCACAAATCTATGCCAATCTCCCATTATATTTTAATTATAGAGTCAATTCTTAAGTTTCATGGTATTTTTTTTCAAAATGTCTTTAATTTTTTTTCCTCAATAATTGACTTTCATTTATAGCAAAACTTATTAACCTGTTGTATTTCTGCCTCAATGTTTAAGAGAAGTGACAAAACAAAAATTTACTATATTCTCTCATTCTCTTTGTACTATTTTTTTATTTTATTAATTATCTGACAATAACACCAGTGGGTCCCAACTGTGCTTGCTGCTGTTCCCATTCATTAGAAGAGTCATTCCCTGCCCATAGAGCTGTCAATCTAAATAGGCAAAACAGACAAAGGAGAGAGAAAGGAAGTATTAATGGAGACACAAAGAGAAACTGAAAGATTAAGTGACATGTCCAAGGTCACACAGGAGATCTATGGCAGAGGTGGGGATTCGGCCCAAATCTGCTGAGTAGAGCTGGGTGAATTTTTTTAACTAAGCTTTCTGACAAAAAAGGCAGATTCAGGTCAGCTGAATCATTTCATGAATTCTGCTGATTTTGCCAAACATTTCAACAATTGAAATGAAATATTTGATTTTTCAAGCCAAAACAATTTTTCATATCAAAATTTCCTCCAATTTTATAAAAATTTAAAAAAGCTTGAAAGCAAAAGGATTTGTTTTGTTTTGTGTTGAACCAAATGTTTTGTTTTGTTTAAAAAAATTTTTTTTTTTTTACTTTTCGGATCTGACAGAGGACCAAAAGATCAGATTTTGTTTGAGTGCTGGTCCTTATGCCTACATGCTGTAGGTACGCATGCTCTCCATGAGACCAGAAGATTCTTCAAAAGCAGTGTCTGTTGGCCCATGCCTGCACCCTACTCAAACTGGTCTAAGCTGAGGGTGTAAGGAGCAGCTCGCACTACCAAGCTAAAAACAAACTGCGTAGACAGTGCTAAAGTTGAGGCTAGTGCTGGAGACCAAGCTCTGAAGCCTAGAGGGGCGGGTGGGCTTCAGAACCTGAGCTCCTGCCTGGATCGCAGCATTTACCACACTATTTTTAGTGTGGTAGTGTGAGCCCTAGTCTTCCAACCTGGACTGGGACGCTGGCTGCTGTAGCTATGTAGCTGTACCTTGGACAGTTTGGCACACACCAGCTACCTGTGCCTGACCCTGAAGAGGACTGAAAAATTATTTTGTTCCCTCCAGGAGGACAGAATATTTGTTTTCCTACCCTAACTGGAACTCTCTAATAGTCCAGAAAGTCCTCAAGTGAAACAGGTTACCTCAGCCTAGATCCACCCCTTCAGATAAAGGTGGAAAGAGACTAGATCTCCTCAGCAGAAAGAACTTTTCATCAGCCAGCCTACTATTCCACATAGCAATTACCAGACATTCATGTTGAAACATGATTTTATTAATTAGCATAAACTGCCAGAATTAGCTGATAAACTGCCACAGAAATGTAGGCCACAATTCCAGGCAATCCTGTACGAAAGGAAACTGGTTGCCAGATCATCGCTCCAGATGTCACTTGATGTAGTGCACCGGCTCCCTGACAACCTTGGTGGTTATAAGGCAAGCTTCTTGGTTGCAGTCTTCAGGATTCTCCAAGGAGGTAGAAGACCTCTCTTTTGAGGGGAACAACCTGTTTAGTGAGAAACAGATCACTGCTTCAAGGACTCTGCTGTGAAATTCTGCTCATCAGAATATACACCTTGGCACCCTGTAGGAAATACTCTAGGTCATTTCCTCATAGATACTGCTTGACCCCCTAGCCTTTTATCATCAGAAAGCCTATGAGGGCTTGTCTACACTACCAGGTTTTGTTGACAGAACTTATGTCAACACCCAAAAGGCGACAAAACAAAAATTGCCAAAGGGTGTTCACACTTGCTCTCTCTGTCGACAGATCGTGTCCACATTGGGGACACTATCATCGACAGGGTGAGCAATGCACCATGGCTACGTATCCCACAGTGCAGTGTTGTGGGAAGGAAGAGCTGAGCACTGCAAATCTTGGGATTCTCTCCGAGTTCTCCCACAGCCCCCTCAGCTGCCGAGAGCAGCATCCTGAGGAGCTCCGTGAGCTCTCCCTGCTGAGGAAGGGCAAAGCAGCACAGCAGTCTGTCCCCCTCCCCCTGCAGCAGCCGTCTGCCTGCTGCTGAGTTCCTAGCGCCGGGCAGAACAGGAGCATTCCAGTTTTCTCTTTGTTCCCCAGATGGAGCAGCACACAAATACTTCCCGGAGCTTTGAAAGGGGAGGGGCGCATGCCTGCAGGGCAGCAGAGATCAAAACACTGAGCAGAGCAATCAGGGCAGGCATTTTGGGTTCCTGGCAGGAGCCAGTTCTGTCAACAAAACAATCAGCAGTGTCGATGCTGGCTCTTTGTCGACTATAAAGGGAGGGGAAAAGACAAAAGTCTCTCGTAGAGGTGGAAGTTTTTTGTCGCCAAAACTGGGCGTTTTTCACAAGAAAAGTTCCATTGTAGTGCATACGCTCTTGCTGTTTTGTCAGTAAAAGGCAGTTTTTGGCGACAAAACTTGCCAGTGAAGACAAACCCTGAGAGCCTCCTAAGAGGCACCAATTGGTGCAGCATAGAAGACAAACAGAACCCCCACCATCCCCTCTTCAGTCCTATCCAAGAAGACATTTTGATGGGGCACTTGAGCACCATCACTCCCTGTACCTTCCCCACTTCAGTGTCCACCTGGCCTGTTTCCTCCCAATGCTGGCAGCATATCACACCAGCCAAATGGGTCTCAGACATCATCTTGAACCAGTAAAATAAAATTCCTTGTTGCTCCTTCTCCAAACCTCCCTTCCCATCTGTTCCATGAGAGGATTCTCAGACAGAGGGTGGACTCCCTAATCCAGGTATCAGCAATGAAGCCTGTACCCCCTCAACACAAGAGGAAGGGCTTTTACTCCAAATATTTCTTCATCCCCAAAAGAAGGGGGACTGGAGACCCATCCTCAGACAGCTAAATGTCTTCATTCACCATTCAAGATACAGGATAATTATATTGCCCCTAATAATCCCCTCCCTAAATGAAATTGACTGGTGTACCTCTCATTGTGAAGGATGCCTATTTTCATATAGACTTTCACCCAGTGTACAGGATATTCCTGTGGGTTACGATGGGCCTAAAGCACTTGCAACACAGAGTGCTTCCCTTTGGTCTCTTGACAGCCCTGAGGGTTTTTACGAAGGTACTGTCCATGCATACCTGTGTCAACGAGGCAGCCCAATATTTCCTGTCTGGACAATTGGCTCCTCATGGGGCAGTTGTATCAGGAAGTGCAGGCAGCAGTGTTACCTCTTTACTCAACCTCTTTCACTGCTTGGGACTTCAGATAAATCCTAAAAAGTCCAGTTTTAGAATTTTTAGAAGTTTTAGAATTTATTGGTGCAAATCTGAACATGATTACACCCAAAGTTAGCTTACCTCAAGACAGATTCTTTCCAGTGAGGGACCTCATCCCCCAATTTGACTCAGCCCCCAGATAACAGTCTGGTTCTGCCTGGTCCTGCTAAGCTATATGGCCTCATGTGACCACACCCTTCACAAGGTTTCACCTACCATGCCTCCAGGCACTGTTGTGGATGGTCTATGCTCTGAGCAGGAACTTCCTGGAAACACAGGTCACACTTCCACAGAGTGTCCTGATGTCACTCACCTGGTGGGAAACAAAGGACAATGTCTATATAGGGTTGCCTTTATTCCTGCATTGCCCACAAAGACACTCATTATGGATGCCTCCCTAATGGGATGGAGAGCACATGTGGACGACCATACAGCTCAGGGTTTGTAGACTCCACAAGAGTCTACACTACATATCAGTCTTCTTGAAGTTTGGGCAGTGCACGAAGCATGCAAGATATTGCTGTCCTTCATCCAGTCCATGCACTTCTGGATCAGGTTGGACAATGTGACTAGTTTATTACTTAAATAAGGGGGAGCAAAATTTGCCTCACTCTTCAAGGATACAAGCAACCTGGAATTGGTGCATCCAGCATCAGTTTACCCTATTGATAGTGCTGCATTCAGCTGCAGAGTCAGTGGAGCCCCAGACGCAGCCTCCGAGCTGGGCAGCTCTGTGTTTGCAGAAATGGGTCGGGGGGAGTGGCACATCTGGGTCTCCTGTGTTAGAATAGAAGCAGGACCGTTCATCACAACCTGGTGTCCCTCCATCTGGTAGCCTGGTTTCTGGATGGACAATGAATTTAGAGAGATTGTGCTCACAAGAGGTCCAGTTTATCCTTAATAATATCAGGAAACATGGATATGTATTGCTGCCAAATGGAAGCAATTCTCCATTTGGTGTCAGCAACATCACTTACCCCCACAAGGAATCTGGGATCCCTCTTATCCTGTGCTGTCTTCTCTCCTTGAAGAAATTGGGCCTATCCATCCATTCACGGCATGTACATTTTTCAGCTATTAATGTCTTTCATCCTCCAGTGGATAACTGCTTGGTTTTCCACTATCCCCAGCAGTGAAGTTTCTAAAAGGCATTATCAGAACATTCCCACCGCTATTAAAACTTGCTCCTATCTGGGACCTGAACTTGGTGGTATCAGCTCTTGTGAACCTGCCATTCAAGCCCTTCGCCTCTTGCTCCCTCTTATGTTTGTCTATGAAATTTACCTTCCTAACTGCAATAATCTCTACTGGGAGAGTGGGTGAGCTTGGGTCCTTTATGGCAAATCTTCCTTACATGGTGTTTCATAGGCATAAAGCATTCTTGAGGTTGCATCCCAATTTCATCACAAAGGTGCCTTCTTAACTTCACCTGAACTAAACAGATCACCTGCCTAATCATCTACCCAAAGCCTATAATAACAGGAAGGACAAGCGGTGACACTCCGTGGATGTATACAGGGTTCTAGCCTTCTACTTGCACCAGAGTAGGCCCTTTTGGGATCCTCTGAGGTTCTTCATATCCATAGCTGAGAAAACGGGGAGGAAAGCAACCTCTTCCCAAACCTCTCCAATTGTGTCCTCCTTTGCTATGAACTTATTGAAGCCCCTCCATGTCAGATTTTCAGGATTCATTCAACCATAGTCCAAGCTGCCTTGTTGGCATTCCTACGAGGAGATCTGCAGGGCAGTGACTTGGGGGGTCCATTCACACTTTCACTAAACATTATACCCTGGTTCAGGCTTCTGCAGAGGATGCTTCCTTTGGTTCAGTGGTCTGTGGTGCAGGACTCTTCCTTGCACCCTCATCCTCAATGAGCACTGCTTGAGAGTGACCCACAGTGAATATCCATAGGGACCAAAGAGAGGATACTTACCTTAGAGTAACTGGAGTTCTTCAAGATGTTGTGGTCCCTATGGGTATTCCACAACCCACCTTCCTTCCCTTCTGCTCACATCCTCATGTTGTTTGTGGTAGAGTAGAGTAGGGACTAAAGGGATGGTCAGTCCATGATGCCCCTTATGCCCTCAGTTCAGAGCACAAGGAGGTATAAGGATAAAGGCATAGACCAACAGACACTGCTGTTGAAGAGTTTTTTGGTCTCGGATGCATGGAGCGCATGTGCACCCACAGTGAATACCCATAGGAATCACACATCTCAAAGAACTTAGGAAAGTATCCTTCCTTTATTGGCCCAGCTCTACTCCTGTGTTCCAGTCCAGTGCCTAAATCATACAACCATCTTTTTCAGAAATAACCTGTCAACTTCATTAGAGTAAGAGTACAACTTTGTATCGCTCCATAGACATGTACAAATGAGAGCGCTAGAGTTAATCGCATTCTTAAAAGCTTAGCTGGCTCAGGGCCAGAGTGCTGAGCACATTGAAGGATAGAGCCTGAAATGACTGATGGAGTCCTAATAGTTATTTGGTTTCTGTCACTACTACTAGTGGGTGATGCAAGTTTAGAAATAATATGTCACCCTTAGTGGGCAAGCAAAATCACATGCCCCACCCACCTACTAGTCACTCCCACCCTCCACCTACTTACCACTGGATGTTGCATCTAAAAGAGAAATAATGGCTTGTTCCCTACTTAAATAATTACTGTGGGCTGCTATTTAATTTAAAGACTATTTCTACTACAGTAGTCCCTAAAGGCCCCACCAAAGATAGGACCCTATTGTACATACTGTACATACACATTGTAAGAGACAGTCCCTGGATCAAAGAGCTCACAGCCTAAATAGGCAAAGGGTGAGAAAGGAAACAGAGAGGCACCGAGAGATGAAGTAACTTTTGGCCAAGCTCACACACAAGGTCTCCTGACTTCCAGTCCAGTGACCTCTCCTTTAAACAAAGGCTAGGGCTCAACTATCCTTAGGGTCATTTCCTCATTTCTCACAAGTGCTTTATTTCAGTTAATCATCATAGATATTTACAAATGTAAGGAGCGTCAGGTCTATAGATTAAAAAGGGTCAATCTCTTTGCACAATATTTATAGTAAATGTGCATGGAGTGTTTAAAAACACTAAGGGCATGGCTACACTAGAGCTGGAAGATGTACATGTCAGCTCCAGGAGGCATCCCTGCACTAGCTCTGTCCGACCTAGAAATGTACTCCTGGAATTTACACCTTCCAGCTGTAATGTAGACATATCCTAAGTGTGCAGAACTTGCTGCGGGCAGTGAACAGTAGTTGTGTCCACCCAGTTCAAGGACAATACGGTGGCCCTAAGTAATCAGGACACAGTCATAGGTTTGTAGTCCATTTCTGCTTTGCACTCATGTAACTCCCATTAGCGTTAATAAAAATTATCCAAGAATAGAACCAATACAGTTTTATAGTGCTAGATACTTCTTCTGTAGATATAATTATTGCAATAGAGAGAGCTATTCAATATGCAAACAGAAAGAAGAACAAAGTTACAATAGTTTCAGAAGCATATTTGATGTATTGTTTTGTTTGAACTGTCTCCAAAACTTCATAAAAATAAGATTTGCATATTATAAAACAGTGGGTTTTTCCCCTGGATTGTAGGTTTATTTACATGTCTGATCTGCTGGTAGACATGTCTGTTTATGCTGAGTAACGCTGCATTTTCCCGGGGCTTTGTACAGTATTTCTGTTAGTGTCAATGCTTTACGTGCAGATGGTCAGTGTCACGAATACAAGTGGATGGCTAGCCCATGGAAGGGATCTTCTCGGACAGTATGGTGCCAAAGATCAGATGGTTTAAATGTTACAGGTAACTATTATTTTTATTTTTCTTACATAGAAATCAGGCCATGAAAGAATAAAAAGGAGTGGAGACATTGCTGCTCTTGTAAAAGGATTTGCAAATAATTATCAGATATTATATTTTCCAATAACAATAAAGAGTAAAAATTCAGTATTATTACTATTTTATGATCTTTATTTGGGCATAGTTTTATTTCAAATCATCATATTATTCCATGGCTGGAAGTACTTGAAAGACCTTTTTCCAAAACTCGACTGATGCCACTATGCAAAACCTACTGCTAGAGGGTAACTATAAAATAATGCCGTCCTCACTGCAGCCTGAATATTTTACATTCTACTTTTCTAAAATGTTTTTTCTCCACAAGCTTTAGGATTTCAAATTTCAATGGTTTCCCTATTACACAAAGATATTTTTATACAAATATGTATAGCATGTATGCATGCAATATATATGTGTGTGTTTAATATATATATACATATGTGTGCATGCACAGAGGGAGAAAGAGAGCTTCATGGTCTATAAGATGTTAAAATAATAAGAATCTGAGATGAGGCCTGTGAGTTAAATTCATGAGTTTAATTCATTCTTTTGCACCAAGGTGCTAAAGCAATATTAGAAACATTACTGTGTGTATTTTGCTATTTGTGGTGTAATAGCCAGGTACAAAAGGGTAAATTAAGGAAAGTTCTGAGGTCTCTGACTTGAAGAAAAATGTAGTCTGTTTTCTTTATGTGGGTACATCAGACTCCAAGCTTTACTTAGTCTTAATTTCTTTAACTATTTATATGATTTCATAAGCACATGATCAGTATCAATCAACTGAATGCATAAAAATGGAACTTTAATCCATGGATTGTTGACATGACAGATCTGAATGACTCTGAAGTAACTGTTACTGTCTGTCATGTCATTGGAACTCTAATCCGTGTATTGTCACCACAAAATGCTTAATAATCCTTTGGAGCCATCAAGTCTCTTTTGTAAGTGTTAACTGGCATTTGTAAAAATGTTAAAATGTATCCTCTTCACACTGGGTATTGCAGACCCAGTCTGTATGCATATTACAAATCCATACAAAATTGTGTTAGCAGCTACTAGGCTCGTACAATTTTTAATCTCAGTAATTTGGTCATGTACATTTTTCCTTAATTTATGCCATCCGCTAATATCCTTGGATACTTATAAAGTGCTTTGTAAAATTGAATCCATTTGGGAGCTGTAAAGTTGTAAATGAAATCTTGTGCAGGGGGGTGGAGAGACACATCTTATTCTTTTGATTTGGTTTATTCTGGTGCTAATTATGATTTCCTACCAGCTGACCTGCTTAGCACCCAGGCTTGTGGGTCAACAACTGTGGGTAGTCTGCGTGCTGGCCTGCCTTGGAGTCAGGAGCCCCAGGGCTTCCAGGGTGGACTGCCCCAGGGCCAGGGCTGTGTTCCCTTTCACAGAAATTTTCTAAATGTTTGGGGTTTTATCATAGAAATGTAGGGCTAGAAGGGACCTTGAGAGGTCATCTAGGCCATCCCCCTGCTTTGAGGCAGGACTTAAGACCATCCCTGACAGCTGTTTGTCTAACCTGTTCTTAAGAACCTCCATTGCCAGGGATTCCATAACCTCTCTTACTAACCTAGTCCTATACTTAATGATCCTTATAGTTAGAAAGCTTTGTTCCAAATTTGGAAATATAGAAGTCCTCCAAAACTGGGTCACTTTTCTCCACCCAGCTCTAATTAAAATCTTATATGGGCTTCTGGCCCTGATGGAGCCAAAGCACTTGTCTGGTTGACAAATGGGACTTCAGGACATGCTTAAGTACTTTCTTCAGATGGCCTCTTATGTATTGAACACAGAAGACTAAGGATCAGATAGGGAACTTTTAGGCCCACCAAATATATGTTCACAGTGTTGGGTATGCTTTACAGTACCATCCACAGACCTCATTAAGACAGGGGTGGCCAACCTGTGGCTCCAGTACCACATGTGGCTCTTCAGAAGTGAATATGCGGCTCCTTGTATAGTGACCGACTGCAGGGCTGGAGCTACAGGCGCCAACTTTCCAGAGGGCGGTCACTGCTCAACCCCTGGCTCTGCCACAGGCCCTGCCCCCACTCCACCCCCTCCCTGCCGTGCCCTCGCTCCTCCCCCCGAGCCTCCTGCATGCCACAAAACAGCTGATCAGGAGGTGCAGGTAGGGAGGGGGAGGCGCTGATCGGCGGGGCTGCTGGTGGGCAGGAGGCGCTGAGAGCGGGAGCGGGGAGCTGGTGTATTACTGTGGCTCTTTGGCAAGGTACATTGGTAAATTCTGGCTCCTTCTCAGGCTCAGGTTTGCCACCCCTGCATGAAGAGATCAATTCTGCCCTCAGATACAGATATTGCCCTCGGCCTTGATTTCAGTAGGATTGCATATGTTCTTGTAAGAACAGAATGTGGCTTAGTGTCAACCTGTTGCTGAGAGTACTGTATTTCTTTGCAGCTGCCATATTGTTTGGTTGGGTCTGAAATAATTTATTTTTATTCATATATATTGTAAATTATATTTCCATTTGTATTTATTTACTCAGATTTTATTTAGTCTGTCACAATATAGTTCTGAATAGTTGTTTGTTTGTTGTTCATTTAGGATGGTGTTTTCACAGATTCATTAACTCAAATTGAAATGGGTGATGAGGCAGCTCTTTTCTTCTGCAGCTGTCAGGATGACTGATACTTTGTTACATGGGTGCTTGCAGGCGTGTGCCTGGTACACACACCAGAGTGTAAAGTTGTATTCCCTATGGATGGGCAACATTTCTTATGGCAGGGTTTCCTTTATTCATCATCCGCCCTCCTGTTAACACCTGGCTTTATATAACTGCATCTTCTGTGAGAGTGACCATAGTCACTTAACAGGATTTCATCATCATTTCACACCAATATAAGGGTGTAATTACTTTGGGAGATTTGGGACATAGTGCAGGCAGGTTACAATGGGTGGCCTCTAAATGTAAAAATTTTAAACTGGTACACTGCCCTCTTTTCCAGGACAGAAGGAATTAGATAAATCTTTTAGATAAATTAATGAAAAAAAACAAAATATGCAGAGGGAAAAAAAGAGCTTTAATGTTTTCCCCATATAAAGCACCCTGTACAAAAATTACATAATGTTTCTCATGGCTGTCATGTAAGTACTAGTTAGAGCCATGACTGCAAGAACATGATTACCCCCTGAAAAACAAAATGCCCCTCCCAAACACACACACAAGCATTAACTGTGGCTTGAACAATCCATAAAAGGTACATAAAAGTATTTGGCATGTCAAGCACCTTCTTATAAAGTGCAGATCAATACAAATAAATCTGCCTACAAGAATTCATGCAGGACTAAGAAAGCCATCCTCCTCCTGCTTTGGTACAGTAGTATCATCCTAAATTCACACAAGCAAGGAAGTTCCTTGAAAGTACTATTTCTATTATTATAGCTATTATTACCCCAAAGTGAGAGAAAATTCCATTCAAATAAACATCTAGAAACTTGGGTGTTCATCCCTAGTTCAACTGTATCTGTTTGGTCTAAGAATTGAATTGGAAGTCTTGTAAGATCAGGATCTTATAAAATTTTCACACAAGCAAGAAAGTACCATTTCATGGCTGAAGTCAGTAATTTCAGTGGGGGTGAGGTGCTATTGTGTCAAAATCTGATTTTGTATCCTACAGGGGGCTGTTTAGTGATGCGCCAACCAGATGCTGACAGGTCATGTAACCCACCGTGCAGTCAATCCCATTCTTACTGTAGCGAGGTATGTGTCACTGCATTGGAACAACATTGTTTCAGTACCCTTACTGTACACTACAACACAAAAATAGTGAAGGCTAAAAGCCTTTATATATGAAAAATAGTACATAGCTCCTCATTAGTTTTCAAGATATTTTGCACAATAGAATCAAGATTATTGAAGCATTTTCAGAGCTCTCACTAGTGTTAAATTTTTTAAATCAACCTCAAAACATTAATCCTTCCCATTAAATACGTAAACTGCACTGCTTTGATTCAATAGGAGATGCCACACAAATACATCCAGAGGTGCCCTCCAGGCTAGTGCTCATCAAAACAATCTTCTCTTCCAGTCATCAATGTTGTCATGATTTAAAGCGCTCAGAGAGCTGTGTTTCTGCTACACAGTGTAAAACACTTGTTCCCTACAGACTAGAACGTGTGGTTGTGAAGAAGGGTACACTGAAGTAATGTCCTCTGATGGCACACTCGAGGAGTGCACACTCATCCCTGTGGTAGTGATCCCCACTATGGAGGACAAAAAAGGAGATGTGAAAACCAGTCGAGCTGTGAACCCCACCCAGCCATCCAGTAACCAGTCAGGACGAGGAAGGACCTGGTTTCTGCAGCCTTTCGGGCCAGGTGAAGTCATTACATGAGCAGTTAGTGATCCTAAGTACTGCAACAGCATTTGGCATTTAAGCTGCTCTGATGCCAAAAGTCATTAAACGTTTATTTAAGAATGCAGTCATCTGCAAGGATTGAACAAAAAGGAAGAGACATATGTAACCCCACCCTTCGCTGCTGCTGCTGCATCAGTATATTTAATTAAACTGTATATTACAGAAGGGATAGAATTTTCTTCCCTGATACTTCTTGTTTGAAATTTTCCAGTGAGAAGAACTGGAAATACTGTAGAGGGAAAATACTGTGAAAAGCCTGGGAAGTAGTCACAGTTCGCAGCACTTACTGGATATCCGATTAAGCAATCGGGGTTAAAAATATTACTGAGATAACTCAGGAGGTCAGAACACTCTCTAAAGACTACAAGGACCTGGATGCCTTTTTTCCCCACTGATACCACTGGTGTGGTTGTGGTTTGTAGAAGATGTAAACATTTTAGCAGGTCAGGTTTTCATCTGGAAGTTTTATTACACTTATAAAACTCAAACATCTCAGCTAGAAGTATCTGCATCACCACTTAAATGCTCCAGTGATGAGATCTATAGAAACATGTTGGATGAACAGATTGTCTTGATCTGATGCAACTACGTTTCTAGCCTGATGTTAGTAGAGCTACACAATAGTTGTTGTTTGTATTGTGGTAGTACCAAGTAGCCCCAGTCATGGACCAAGACCCCATTGTGCTAGGCACTGTACAAACAGAACAAAAATATCATCCCTGCCCCAAAGTATCAGTACTTTTAAGTACTGATCCAACATGAAAAGAACTTTAATCAAAACACCATGTTTCCCTAAGCAAGTATCTCATATTTCTTACATGCTACCTCATTCCCTGTAATTCTAAAGTAAGTCTGGTGAAATTCTTTGATGTGGCTATCCACTCCACTCCAACTGACCTGACCTAAAATCTCAACTAATAGCTATTATTACCCCAAAGTGAGAGAAAATTCCATTCAAATAAACAACTAGAAACGTGGATGTTCATCCCTAGTTCAACTGTATCTGTTTGGTCTAAGAATTGAATTGGAAGTCTTGTAAGATCAGGATCTTACAAAATTTTCAGTACTTCCTGATTTCAGCTAAAATGGAAATACCAGTTACCACAAGAGAAACATGAATAGTACAGAAACAGTCTCTGTTGTTTCAGTAATTCCACTTTTGGTGAAAACCAGGAAGGTGGGAGCAAAAGTAAAAAGCAAGGCAATGTTTTAAATTCTGAATAAGGTTCAGGTTTACTTGATTCAGTTCTAATTTTGGTTGAACATTTAGATCATTCTTATTTTATCCAAACCAGTACTCCCATCTCTAAAAATTACCCTGCCTAGTTCTGTAAGAATCATATTAGACAGTTTATTGCAAATTTCCAGATAACATTATACAACTTGAACTTTGGCTTTAGCTGTAGATTAACAAAACATCGGCAACTGTAAATGATCCCCCCCCGCCCCACACTACCGCCCTCCACCCCAAAACCCACCACCACCTTGCTGAATATAAATAACCCTGTAAGGAAGACACTGAACACTTTAATCATAATGAAATCTGAATTGCTATCACATCCAATATTGGATAAGTCAGGGCAAATCTACTGCCTCAGTCCCTCTTTAATGGATCAGTTGTTTCATTGCTTCAGGTTATTAAGTGTTATTAGCTCCATTACATTAATCCAGCGAAAATGTTTTTCTATTAATTAGTCTAAATCAAGTAGTCTGCATGACTGCCAGCCCCTGGATTGTTAGATAGTATAAAACCTGCGTACCTACCTGTGCAGCAGCAGAGAAAGCTACTGGGAAGTTTAGGAAGCAAACTCTGTGTGAATACATTTATCGTTAATACGCTGTTAAAAGCTCCACTGTAACCTTCACTGAAATAGCTTTTTGGTTCTGCGAAGTTATCAAAGTACTATAAAGGAGGTTTTTGTTTTTGTTTTGTTTTTTAAGAACTGCACCATAAAACAAAGAAGAATGGCTACTATAAAGGGTTGGCTTGAAGCTCACAATTTCACCAGTACTTGCTTGGTATAATATTGAAAACACCACCACAAGAATAGAGTATGGTTTGTTCTACCCTCCATGGGCATATTTTGCCCTAACACATATTACACTCTCTACCATCCTACTGACAGTACTGGAGATGTATAGTATAGTCAAGGCACAATTTGACCCCTTGTGTGAAAAATAATTCACACAAATGTGATTGGGAGGTATCACATGTGCATTGACAAGAAAATTCACGTGGGTATATATGTTCTAGTCAGCCTACTGCATAAGAATTTGTTTTCAAATATTAGATTCGCTTTAGGGGCAGGTGGGATGTATTTTTTCTGAGCTAGTTCAATGTCAAACCAGTTCAAACCCAAACCTATTTTTAAAAAGGACATGCGAATAAATAAGTCCTTCTCTCTGACCTTTTCTGAAATCCATCTTGGGGCTCAGCAGGTCACGGAATCTTTGCCGGGTTAGCTTCCATCTTCATATTTCAGGAGTTGCAAAGTTTCCCCAAAGTCAAATAGGGACAGTGCATTATGAACACTTCCGATCTACAGCAGGGAACCACAGATTATGAAAGGATTTTTCAGAGCATTCAGCCAAAACCCACCAGAGAGTTAGAGCAGCTTTTTCCCACTTTCTCCACCGAAGAGTAGGGTGTTCAGTTGGGTCTGTTAGAGCCTGTCTGACATCAGGGGAAAATAGGAGGTGATATGTCTTGTAACTACAGGCATTTAAAACCGAGCTGTGGAGATATAAGATCCTTGATAACAGCAGACTGTAATTCTACTTTTGTTTAGACTACAGGCCAACAATAAGTTTGGAGGGGTGGGGAGAAGGAAGATGTTCCAACAATGCAATTAAAAAGGAAGGAAGCAGAAGATCATTGTCTAGGTGTGCAGCAAGGAGAACTGTTGTACTCAAGACAAAATAAGGAGTATATCAGACACTAGACTGGTCACTAAAGCTATCTAAAAAGAGAAAAAATCATGTGAAAATGAGAACATATAGATTATTTTGCCAAAATAAAAGTTGCACTTAAAAAGTGTTTTCCATTTCTCCTGAGTGAGGAGTACAACACTTAAAATCACACTCACTCTCCAGGATTACCCCTTACCAACTAATACAGGGTGGTAGTTTGTCTGTGATCGCAGTTGAGTAGGTTCACATCACCTAGTTTCTCCCATGTCCACCTGCTCTGTCCTGATAAGCAGGCAGCCTATTGAAAAGTACAGCATGACTGCAAACAAGACTGTGGGCTTTTTGGGTGGCTGGCCTGCTCACAACTGGCAGTGCTCCCTCGTAAATCAAACCAAAACTGCTTTAATGTTCAGCCTTGTCATCTTGAGAGTGTTTTTAACCAAACCTGTAACTGAGTAATCTAATAACACCTGTACATATTAGGCTTCAATGCTGCTTGTGCAGACAATAATTATTGCTATTCAAACCTGCAATGCAACAAGACTAACCTGTAAACTAATGACTAACATTAATTCCTTTTAGATGGGAAGCTGAAGACCTGGGTTTATGGCGTAGCTGCTGGTGCATTTGTTTTACTCATCTTTATTGTTTCTATGATCTATCTAGCCTGGTGAGTTCTTTAATTATTCCTAAATGAACAAGTGGAATATGGACTGTGTATTGAGCATTTCACTGAATCAGATTCAGCTTTGGGAACTACATCGAGTATACAGTCGTCAGAGTTTGGTGTGCATATGCTTTTGCCCAAAATAAGCTTACTGGCAGTTGCTACTTCTGTATACTTTTTCAGTGGATTAACAACTTTCTTGAGGCCTGAAAAATATTGTTTTAGAAATATGAGCCACATTAAAGATGTCTTTAGTAGTTGTGTGCATTTAATGTCTCCAATGCAACTGCCTTTCAGTTTGTCTCCATTAAGTATTACTGTATTATCACCCAGAATAATACCCCAGGAGCTGTGTTTTTGGAGGTGTAACAACCCTCCACCCCCCAAAAAAAAGTGGCCAGGTAAGGCTAATTTAATGTTTGTTCCCTATGAATGGTCCAAGAGGTATATCGGGGTGCCCAAATTTTGTGACCAAATATTGACATAGCAACTTATCAGGAGCCTGAGGTATAATGTGTCTGTACATGTATTCTACATGCTGTGGGCCAGATCTTAGCCTCTGTGGTTACTTTGTGCCAAGACTAGTGCAAATCTAGTTACCTGAGGATTTCTGCAGTAGGGGAATCACTGGGTTTGGTTAGGACCAATATAGCAGCTTCTGTGCAATCCCACTGGTGGTGAAGGTGACATGGCCAGGGAAACGTGTGTTTGGCTGGAACACAAACAATTCCTAACCACTGAAATTGCTCCTTTTGGGGACATAGGTAGATGAAGCAACTTTGCATAGCCCTCAGGCAACTCCAAATTGAACTTCAGAGCTGGGATGGAGTGGTACTAGAGTGGTTTAAATATATCTTCATGCCCTGCCCCAAGTGAAGCTAACAATTAGGATTTACGTATATTAATCTAATATTACCAGTTCCGGAGAATCAAGTATGTTTTGTTTGTGCATTTTAGATATTTACACCTGTGCCAAGTAGATTTAAAACACTACTGAATTAAAGATAACTAGAGAGTCGGTATCCATTCAGTATAGGCATTTCCTGTCTGATGATACCATTTAGAATTAATCTATTCGCTGCTGCAAGTATATGTATTTTGGAGGACGTACCAAGATGCACTAGTCAAAAAGTTCTTGTTGAAGATAGTGTGCCACAGCAATAGGTGTTTAACTCAATAATGTGATGTAAATGATTAATTTCAGGCACCCTATTCAGATCATCAAGTTAATGATGAAAGAATACCACCAGCGATGGGCCAGAACCTCTAATCTGAACCCCTTAAAATTTCAGGGGAGATTAAAATATTTAGGTTCCAGATCACATCTACAACTGGAGGGAGCCTGGTTGTGGTTTTGATGCAGCCAACACATTGCACAGAAAGCAAAACTTCCCACCACATTCATGTTTTGGTACAGTCGTATATCAGAACCAAAATCGAATCTCAATTCAAATACTCTGCCTCTCACTGAAAAATTGGTATTTAAAGAGACTGTGACTTTTGGATGTTTAAGGAGTTATTTCAGCTGAAATTGAGGATTTATACACTTAGATTTTACCGACAAACAATCCATCCAGTTTATAAATAATTACTATACCACGTTAGATTTTCATTTACAGAGAGAGGTTCATTTTTAAAGCTGAATTTATTTTCTAATAACTTTATTAATTGTTTCAGCAAAAAGCCAAAGAAACCCCAGAGAAGGCAGAACAATCGGCTGAAACCTTTAACACTGGCTTATGATGGAGATGCAGATATGTAAAATATAACTTTCCACTGCAGCAACTGGATTCTACATTACTGTGTTGAAATCAGAGGGTGTCCAAAGGCACAGGGGCATGCTACAGAGAGGATTTTAGGCGGTTTTTGTTTTTGTTTTGTTTTTTAAGAACTGCACCATAAAACAAAGAAGAATGGCTTTCATAATGCCCATGGATATTCAAGGCATTATTGCTTTATTCTAAGCCATGAGCACAGAGAATTCTGGCAGATTGGAAACATTAATGTGTTTTTTTGAAACTGTCAAAACCACCTCAGTCTCCAGACCACTGTGGCTCATTTAATATTCACAGTTGAGAACCCTGACGCCAGACTTACCTTCACAATTAACCATGTATAATCACTGAGCATGAAGAGTTTGTACCAAGCTGTCTATAACTCTTTATATTCAAGCATAACATATATACTCAGTTGAAGCATATGTATTATTCTGTCAAATTATATACTTGTTAAAGAGCATTTTAGTGCTTAATAAGCTGTTAACTGAGAAGATTGAACAAGTTCAGCATCTTGGAAATTGTGTAGCTTGTGTTAACCTGCATTTCAGAGAGCAAAGATTCTCTTGCAAGACTGTTCTATTATCACTCCAAAGTATCAAAGCTTCATATACACAAGTATCTAGGAAGGAAACATCCTCAGATTCAGTATTTTATAGTGGTTACTGTCTGGAAAAATGAATACCTGGTGTAAATGTTACAATATGTTTCTACTTTCTCTAACTCTCAAACTGTTGCCTGCATCTTTTTTGCTACATGTTAGGCAAATTTTTGCACTATATTAGTGCAGCATGATATGCACTTAACTAGTATTGCCATAGAAACTGCCTCTTTTCAAAAAGAATGATGATGCATCTTGTGCCAGGAGCGTCAAGCAGGCATTTCAGTTCTTGAATCCTGAAGAGAGTAGAGTTCAGCTTGGACTGTGACTGGATGGAATCAGCTAATACATGTACTGTATACACTGTTTCTCATCACAGCAGCCATTTTGTAGTCTATATCGTGGCAGTAATATAAGTGTCTAGTTTCTTGCCCATCTACTTATACAAATGTAGATTCTCCAGTTGGTTTCTAATTGTACTTTGAAGGCTGTTTATGACTAGATTTTTTATATTTGTTAACTTTGTTTAAAAAAAAAGAAAGAAAAGTGGTTGCCCTCTCATCTTGAGTGAAATATTCTGATTATTTGTTCAGCTAAATGAAGAAAGTTTGTTGCGTATTTTTCCTCTCCCAAGCAAAATAATTGCCATTGTAGCTGCCAATGTAAAACTTTCCCTTTAGTTAGGATAACTGGATGTAATCTTTACCTTTAATCATTCAGCTAAAGTCTTAAAAGTACTGGTTAAAGAAGGATATCAAAATATTTGCCTCACTAAACAGTCAGATAACTTTTTCTTAACTCTGGTAGTATAACAGTTCATTGCCACTCCTTTCTTTACATGTTAACCTCGTCCATCCCTATAGCTTTTCAAGCATGTTGTGCTACCATTGTATCTACACCTGTCACAGACATGACTCATGACCTGAGAGGGCTTACTCTACCAGAATGGCTTCTAGAAATGTCGCCTAAAAGAAAAAGAAAAATGACTGTGCTATTACCAAGCAATATAATGACAAGACTTTATCACAAAACCTTTCAAAAAACTTGTTGTGTAAAGTTCAGTATTAGTGTCTCAGGTCTTTTACTAACCTCCACCATTCCTGTGCACCATTCCCAAGCACCAGTTTTTGTACAGCCAGTAAAACTATACACTTTGCCAACTTTGGGCTGGCTCATGTATCCACTGAAATCACTGGGCGGCATGAGTCCTGATTCCATGTCAAATTGTCATTGAAATCAGTGTGTTTTGTTCAAATATCAAAAGTAGAATATGGTAATACCAGTGTTTTGATATCACACTATGATATTGATCTTTTCCTAATGCATAGATAAGAAGAGAAGAACAAATGTGTGTGTCAATTAGCAATAGGCATTTGTTCAGGTTCCATTTCACACCTTACACCCCAATCCTGCAACTTGTTGGCGGACTGCCAGACCAGCCCAACACTCCACAGAACTCTATATGGCTCCTTGCTGTGGCAGCAGTTCACTTACATACAACAAGTTGCAAGATTGAGGCTTTAATCTTATATCATTTCATACAGACTGAGGGCAAAAAAAAAAAATTATGTACAAAGTTAAGTTCTTTGAAGTGTTTCAGTGAGAAACAATAAAAAGTTAGTTCTTACTTTATCAGACAGACAAAAAAAATGAACGGTGGGAAAGTTATCAAATTGCAAATAAAACTTTAAAAATATGACGTTGAAACTTGGTCATGGATGAATTAATTACCTTTGGAAGCTCATTTCTGGGTGTTGAATTGTTTCGGGCGAACATCTCTGTCCGTGCGGATAAGTGAGGATGGTTCTTAAATTGGCAAGAAGTTACCACTGTTAATTACACTGGCTAGTCTTTTAGCAGGAGCTCCGCTGTAGCGCTCACCATGAAGCCTGTGTGAACCTGAACACCCAAAATTTCACAATTTACTTCCAATTAAAGCTTTGCTATCATCTGTTGTTCGCCATATAAAATTACTATTGCTAAAATGCAGACAAAGAATGGGTGTTTGGCTTTTACAATCCATACAAGTATTTCATGAGAAAAGAAAATCAAGAGCTGGTACAGATCTGCAATTGTATTAAATTCTGTGTTTTGTAAAACTGGAGCCAGAATAGCCTATTCTTTCTTTATGAAGAAAGGCATTCTTTAAAAAGATTTTTAGGATATGAGGAGAGTTGTAAGTCTGTAAATCTAAAAGTTACAAAAGGTGGTCAAGCCCTGTAAGTATGAAACAGTTAAAAAAACCAAAAAACAAAAAAACCCCGCAAGTTTCATAAAGAATGAAGAGTAATTTGCTTTAAAAACCAGAGTGCTTCTACAAATCCAGTGCCTAAAGCAGCCACTACTGTAGTTTGTTAGTGTGTGAAAGTAATGTTTCCAGTGATCAAGTGTCTCTAAGCCATTCAGAAAATAGCTGAGTAGATATTTTCTTGTTGGTGTGGTGGTTTGTAATTTCCTTTAAAAAATCTGTAGTTTCTAGATTACTGTGTCTGCTTTGAGTCCTGGAGCACTTTCTTTTCAAAGCTTTGCTGATACTGCACAAGATTCTGTATGTTTGCTATAATGCACCCATTTTAAAATTCCCTTTCTGCCACCAAAGTGTAATAAAGTCCATTTTAACAATCTGAAAGACCCACTTAAATACTCTGTATAAATCACTGTAAAATATACCTTGGATGAAACTGAAATCTGTCTTTTACCTTTATGTAAATCGTGCTCACCCAAAGTTAAGAGTTTTATTTTGCCTAACTTAATTTACTTGAATATTTATTTTGTAGAATAAGGAGGCAGCTGTCTGAGGAATGTTTACTTTTTTTTGGTTAATGTTAATTTGTAAATTGTGTAATGCATTTTTATTTTTTAAATTATGTATATTCTTTTTTAATGCACAAAATGTTTACGTACAACTACTGCAAATTTGTGTATATTGTCACTAAGCTTTATTCAGTTAATATAGATGGCGTGTGAAAATGTAACAAGACTTACATTTTCATATGGGTTATTTTTACGTAACTGATGTATTGCTGACAATAAATTTAAACACAATCATTTTCACGTGTCTGTTATTAAATGATTTTGGCTATGGTGGAGGGAGATGCTAATAAAAGTCCATATCCCTAAAATATTGCCATCTTTGAAATATTATTTTTTACTTGAGAGTAAACTGCAAAGCTATTCCTTTAAAAAAAAAAAGAGAAGAAATTGTTTACCCTCACAAAATCAGACATCTAGGCCCATTCCTGCAGTCCTTACTTAGGCAAAACTGTGCAATAACTCAAGAAAGAACTGGAGTGTCAGGACTTCTCTGAGCCCTGGTCTACACTAGCGACGGGGGAAGGGGGGTGGGAATCGATCTAAGTTATGCAACTTCAGCCACATGAATAACGTAGCTGAAGTCAACGTACTTAGATCGACTTACCATGGTGTCTTCACCATGGCGAGTTGGCTGCTGCCACTCCCCTGTCGACTCCGCCTGTGCCTCTCTCAGTGGTGCAGTACAGGAGTCGACAGGAGAGCACTTGGAGGGTCGATTTATCGCGTCTAGACTAGACACGATAAATCTATCCCCGCTGGATCGATCGCTGACCGCCGAGCCGGCGGGTAGTGTAGACATACTCTGAGTATGAATAGATAGTTTATATTATAATTTCAAATTCTGCTGCTCCTCTCCTGATCTCAAAACTTGATTGGTCAAAAGAAGTATCAATGGAAAAGTCATTTATAAAAATATTGGGGTGGATCCAACTTCCACTAAAAGACTCCCATTGATTTCACTGGATCTGGCACTATGTTGTGTAAAGGACCAAAAAAACAACCCCACAACATAATGGATTACTTTGTCATGTGCAGAGTGGTTGATGAATGCATGATGGCCAAAATAATCCCAGTCTTTTCTAAACCCTAGAAATCTGTAGTGGATTTGCTGGGAAGAAGAGAGATTGAAGTTTTCTGGAGACTGTCTGTATGTTCCTCAAAAAAGTTCAAATTTTTTTTAATGACCATTTCTGAGGTATATTTTTAAACACCGGTTCAGAATATACCTGCCTCCAGCATTACAGACCTACTTTTTAAAAGGGCTTTAAAAAAATGCTTGCATGGAGGAGTAAAAACTTGGTAAAACTTCAATGGGAGTTGAGTTAGGCCCTCACTGAACTTTAGATAATCCCTCTCTGGTGTCTGTCTGCTTAGTTTCAAATTGCAGTGAAATAGTTTTGAAAATCAAAGACCATTTTTTAAAATTCAGTCCTGTACATACATAGGATTTGTCAAAACCAGGATGTGTTGCTAGCTACACTACATACTCTATAAAATAATAAACCCAGCATATTTTTTTATTTAATAAAATTGCCATAATGTTGCACTGACACTATTCCTCAGTGTGTATTCTGTTCATAGTAGAAAGAGCTGTGCTCCCATTTTCAGTGTTCTAACATGCCTCCACTTTAAACAACTGGTGAAACAACCATGACACACAGTGCATTAGTTTGCATTAAAGGTGTGTACATTCTCGTGCACACTAACTGGCCTGTGTTAACCCGACTGGTGTGCCCAGTAAACGTTCCTTAGTGCACTTTAATGTAGTACTGTTTGAAACAAAATGATACTTATGTGCACTGAGGAACTTTTAGTGTGCAGCAACAGGGTCCACACAGGCCAGTTAGTGTGCACTAAATTTTACATCCCTCTGCAGACTAATGCACCACATAGACAAGCCCAAAGACGTGTTAATGCATTTCATAGATAGGAAGCTACTTACTCCATCTGAATTTGTAAGCAACACTGTAACTTGTAATTCAGTTTGAAACCAAGGTACATAATGATCCTGAAGAAGATTTCCTTTGAAAGACCATGCAGGTAAGAGCAGGTTTGATTATAAACATAAATCAGTATATTTTGTAGGCGATATTATGCTGGGGATGCATTAGAAAAGAACCTACACAATCATTCTGAAGCTTTTTTCTCCTTTAAAGGACTTTTTTGCTTCCTATGAGAGCTCTGCAGATAAGTCTATGGTCCCCTCACCTCGTTGTTGCAACCCTCCTGGTCCTTATTTTAACTCTCTCCTCATCATCAGAACTTTCTCTGTTTTTTTCTTCTTAATAGCAACAGTCACAATGCCCAGAAAATTAACAATACCTAAAATATCCCTCCAAAACCATTTACAGATGCAATACACATGCTTTGGAAAATCTTTTTTTGTCCTCACAAGCCAAAAGACCATAACCAAGTTGATATTAGGAGAAGTATCTAACCTAACTGTCCTTTTGCAAACACCTTGCTTTATTGTCTTTTTGGCAGACTCCTTGCTCAAGCAATGACTGTAGTCCTGTTTGTCTGCAGAGCCTTCTCCAATCAGCCAATCAGAAATTTTCTCATAGAAATTGCAGGTCATTTCATATTTTGTAGCAGCTAGGTGATTTCAAGGCAAATAAGGGACCTTTGGGATGATTCCTTTCTTTGGTTCTCAATCAGATACACTGGTGAATGAATCTGAGCTTACCATTACTGGTACAAGAGCCCTTTGCTGCAGTGCCACTCTCAGAAGGACTACCTGATATTCAAAATGTGATACTTAGCAAATATTTCTTTCTGAAATGTTGAAACACCAGTTATTCTTCAAGCGAGGGTCCCTATTTGTATTCCAAATGCGGGTGCGCATGCACACCATGCACCGGAGCTGGAAGTTTTTCAGCAGCAGTGTCCGTTGACCCGCACGGCATTTTATGTCACCACATGCTCCATGGAAGGTATTAAGAGGCCATGGGAAGCGACATGCCCTCAGTTCCCTCTTACTTCATGGTCGGAGTCGGAATCCTCTCTTCAGGCTCATAGCCGCTACGAGAATGACAATCCGTTGTAGATAGATAGTTCTGTTGCTGCTTCTTACTTCTGTAAAGAAGTTAGTTATATAGTAGCCGCATACGGGGCCTCACCATCCCCTTCAGGGGATTATGCCTCACCTTCTAGGGTTTAAGAACTGCACCTCATGCCCTTGCTCATTCTTTGTGAGTGAAGAGCACATGTGTTGTGCATCTCGCCTAGACAGTAGAGACCTTGTCGTCCATTGTGATATCTGCAAGTCCTTCCCATCAAGGATCCATGATGCTTGACTTCTGCACCTCCACACATGCCTCATGGTGGAGGCACTTCAGCCTTGTGGAAAGTCTGATCCTGGACAATCAGTGCCGATTGTGCACCAGCCCTCATGAGTGGTGAGCACTCCGCCCTCAGCTTCACACCCAGATCAATCAACACCGCTGAGACATGAGAAGGCGCACAAAGAGAACTGCAAGCACTCTCATGAACACCTCAGCAGTTGCAGACTGTTGCAGACTGCCATGACGCATCACATTCCTTTCCCAAGCCAGGCTGGGTTGCATGAGATGTCATACAATGACCCCACAGGGCCACCCCCTAAGACAGGAGCAAGGCGAAGCGGAAGTGAAACCCGCCAGCACCACGATGACTGAGGGTCATGATAGCCTGCCGGTGCACGCTCCTCAGCCATGGCAGGATTCAGCAGACAACAGGATATGCCTTGGACACTGGGCCGGACAGATCCACTGGTCCCTACCTCAAACTGCTGTACTCACCCTTGCCTCTTCTCTCAGCCCCATGGCCACCTACACCAGTGGATGAGCCGCTCCTCCTCAGTTGTGACCTGTCTCCAGCAGTCGCGGTACTGCCTGCACTGTCAGCTCCACCACTTCCATAGGCTGCTTCAGACTCTGAGGGCTTCTCAGTTGAAGAGCCATCCTCCTCCCTGGTCTGCCAGCATAGTGTGGACTCCTGGGTGTGCCCACTTTCCTGATGCACTATGCTCCGGGCCTGCCAGGGCGGTACCTCTGTCCTTGGGACCCACAGTACCATTAGGATCCCACCTCATGGCACCACTACCCTGTGTTGGACCCTTATCGCCAGCTGTACCCACCATCTGTGGCCTCATATGAGCCCACCCCGTCCTTCTGCCAGCACAGATTGCCTCAGACCCAAGGAGGATCCAAAGTTTGACCCGGCACCAGAACAGACCACCAGAACAGAGAGCAGCCTCTTCCTCTCCAGAAGAGGCCCTTATCCCATGAACCCTCTCACTCCAACAGCCCCAGGAGTTGCTACAGCATTTGACTTGGGCATTCCCCTGGAGGAGGTCCAGGACTAACCTGACCAGTCACTGCACATTCTCCAACCTCAGGACCGACACATATAGCTCTGCCTGTTCACAAGACCATTCTGCACCCACACAAGCAGTGTGGCACACACTGGCATCCTATACCCCTACGTCCAAGAGGGTGGAATGCAGGTAATTCATGCTGGCAAAGGAGGCTGACTTTCTGTTCTCCCACTCCCTCCAATACACCCCTCGCCTTCGCTGGTCATGCACACGGCCATGTAATGGGCACACCACCACTCCTCCACTTCCACTTGTCCTCCCAGATAAGGTGGCCCCACCTCATAGGCCCCAAATTCTTTTCGTCTGCACACCTCCAATTATCTAGCTGTGCTGGCGAAATATGATTTTAACAATTATGCCAAGCTGGCAGAGCTCTTGAAGGATGTCCCACAGGACAAGCACCAGTGGTTCGAGGCCCTGCTGGATGAGGGCTGCCTCCAGGCTGTGGTAGATGAGGAGGACAGGTCCTCCCACTCCCTGGCCGTGGGGGTAGCGATGAGAGATGAAGTGGGGCTCCAGTCATCCAAATTTCCTAGAGAGGTCCAATCTACCACCCAAGACCTCCTCTTCGATGAGGACAAACTGTTCTCCATGAAAATAGATGCCAACCAAAGCCACAGTTCCAGCCACACCCCCACCTACTAGGAGCCAGCCCACTGATACCCCCAATCCCAGCACCCATGGCCATCAGCCACTGCCGTGTTTGCCACGAGCAGAAGGCCCAATTTTGATGCAATAATCAAGAGCTGCAACACCCCCTCCCCCCCATGTCATGGTCTGTGGCCCCCTGTGACACATTTGGGCCCATCTTGCCCTATTTACCCACCATTGGGGCAAGATCACTATTGATCACTGGGAATTAGACATTGTACAACATGG